GTCCTCTATTTAAAGGTATCAGTTTAATAGTTTCCATTTTATAATTAATTAAGTACATTAAAAATTCTTTTACAAAATTATGAAATAATTGTTAACCATGACTTCAAAGAACTATTGTTATTATCAGCGGTAATTTACTTTAATTATACATATACTGAAGCCCTTGACCCACCTATTATTCCTCTTATTCATATGAATTCAAATTTTATTATTATAATTTGTGTAATTACGTAATTAATTTATTTTGAGCGATAAATTTATAAAATGCTATTCAATAAAAAGAGACATACAGGGCGTTTGAAGTAAAACTACTAATATATTTTTTACAATAATATAAATTTAATTATGTACTTACTTATTTTGTATTTTTAGGAGCTGGTTTGGCAAGTGTTGTAATTTCGTTTTTATTGTCCACATACTACAGTGTTATAATTGCTTACGGAATTTATTACTTTTTTTCGTCGTTCAAAGATGTACAACCTTGGGTGAAATGTGATAACAGATGGAATACTCTGGATTGTTGGGTGCCAAATAAGGGAAATCGTACTGTTGTAGGTGTTTACAGTAGAACACCAGCGGAAGAATTTTACGAGTTAGTTATTTCAATTTTTATCAACATTAAAAGATATTAATACATTTTTTTTTCGTAGTTATAAAGTGCTACAAATCAGCGATGGTATAGAACATCCTGAAGGATTAAGGTGGGAATTGGTAGCGTGTCTACTGTGTGCTTGGATTTTGATATACTTTGCAATTTGGAAGAGCATCAAATCTTCTGCTAAAGTGAGGTACCTTACCACGACTCTACCTTTTTTACTCATTCTTGTGTTTTTGGGAAAATCGTTGACTTTAGAGGGAGCCAATTTGGGAACAAGATATTTTTTCAAGCCCCAGTGGGAATTACTGGCAGATGCGAAAGTAAACAAATAATAAATGCAAAACCAATCATTATTTTCATTAATAAATAAATATGCCTAGGTTTGGGTTAATGCTGTAACACAGACATTCAATTCAATGGGAATTGCTTTTGGATCGATGATTTCCTTTGCTAGTTACAATAAATTTAACAATAATATTGTCCAGGACACTCTGGCAGTATCATTTGTAAACGCGGTCACTAGTTTATTAGTTGGAATTTATTCTTTTGCGACAATTGGGAACATTGCGTTGGAGCAAAATAAATCTATTGATGACGTTATTGCTGATGGTAAGTTTATATTAATTATTTTTTTTTTAGTAATCAACTTTAGGGCAGGTACATAGGTAATTTAAAATTTAAAATATCTTTAAATTGGTGGAAACAAAATCGATGCAGTGGTTGTAGAGTTATTGCTCCATAAATAAAAATACTAAAAATGCTATTATTAGACGGGAATGAATTTTTTGTCACCTAATAATAACTTCCGGTAACTGTGGTGGTGGTTAGAGTGTGTAAAAGTGCGAAAACTGGGTCAACCGGCGCCTAGCGATTTCATTCACATTTTCATTCATTAATTTAATGGGGCGGGGAGCAATAACCAATTCTGATAGGTCTGATTTAAAAACACCTGCAGCGGTAAGAAACTTAGTAACCCTCGGGACATGGTGGTTGTTGCATCGCACCTGACATTTAAGAGCACGATTATTTTACGTTTATTATTTTTTTTATCAATTTGACTTAATCTAGGGTTTATATATACACATTTACTTGAATTATGTTTGAAACTAATATCCTAAATTGTGTTATATCTATTAAAAAATATTTTGTCCTTGGTTGCGCCTATAATCTCTCTGCTGCTGTATTTTACATTATATTTACAAAATATGTATTTGTTCTGTGTTATTTTGATTTATTGCATGGAGTAAATGAAGAATAAATAAACTTTATCAAAAAGTAAATGTAGGTACACAGTTTTATAATAATTATTTATAAAAGTGGATACGTACGATGTTGTATAAAATTACTGTTTTATTTTTATACAAATATTTCGACTTATTAAAATAAATATTTTTCTAATGTATCATTTATTGAAATCATCTTTGTTTTTAGGACCTGGTTTAATTTTCGTAGTTTATCCCCAAGCAATGGGCAAAATGCCCGCTTCTGTACTTTGGGCTTCCTTATTTTTCTTTATGTTAATATGTTTGGGTTTAAACAGTATGGTAGGTTCTTTTCAAAGAAATTATTAGAATCGAAATAATGCACTTTATTAATTTACAGTTTGCCATTGTAGAAGTAGTTGTTACTTCAATACAAGATGGGTTTCCTGACTGGATTAAAAAACATCTTCTTTGCCACGAAATGTTAGTTTTGGTTATTTGTGTGGTATCATTCTTTTGTGGATTACCCAATGTTACAAAGGTACAAAATAATAAAATATTTCCAGACTACAAGACTGCGAACTTTTTATTATATTTTATATTATTAAAAAACTTCCTTAAATGGTAGTTACATTTTAAAACTTATTAAACATACGTAATTTTTGTTTTTAAAGAAAAAATTATATATTTCAGGGTGGAATTTATTTCTTTCAATTGTTGGATCATTATGCAGCTTCTGTGTCTTTGATATATCTGGCGTTTTTCGAAGTGGTAGCTGTGGCATGGTTCTATGGAGTTAAAAGATTATGTGATAACATTAAGAGTATGACTGGACACACCCCTAATTTATTCTTTAGGTTTTGTTGGCTTTTGGCGGCACCTCTTTTAATCCTTGCTATTTGGATTTCCTGCCTCGTAGGATACGAATCCCCAACGTACAACAACGGTCAATACGAATATCCAGTATGGGCAAGAGCGCTAGGCTGGACTATTTCAAGCTTATCAATAATTGCCGTACCTCTCTTTGCGATTTACGTGTTTATGAAATCGCCGGGGAAGACCCTTTTAGAGGTATGTTGAAGAACATTTTCCTTTAATTTAATTCTCGCTCTCATACGTTTCATGGGCTGCTGTGGGGTAGTTTTTGCTTATAGCTTCATCTTGAGCACAATTGATAAAAAAAATTGTTTTGTAGAAATTCAGGAACAGCATTCAGCCAAATATATTCGAATGTCCTAAATGTGGGAATTTTGTTTGCGATCACATGGACGATAATGACGACGAGGAGGAGTTTCAGCCAATTTTAATTAATCCGAATAAAAGCGACATAAATATCGTTGGCAACGGTTCTTATAAAACTTCAAAAAACCCCAGTGAAACAAATATGAAAATCTCTTCCGACAAATTAGATAGAAAGACGAGTACGTATGAAAACGTTAACGATGATAATGTTTATCACACTATAGAATACGATAATAAAAATTCGATTAACGCAAAATGTAGCGACACATGCAGTTGTAGCTCCCATTTTACGGATAAATAGCAAACATAATAGAACAGATTTAATAATAGAAAAGGGACCAATTAATACATAATACATTTTAGGTAGCTTATTAAAGTTGCTTATTAGATCTCTTTTTAGTGGACCAATCTAATAATACCTATTTACGATTAGAGTACACCTACCTAAATCATCATGTAGAATTATTTTGTAATAAATGAAAAATGCAAGCCCTACATTAATTGTCAAAATAATAATTTCACTGCATAAATTGCATGGTAATGTATTGTGCTGTACAAGAACAAGGCTACCAGACCAAACGGCTGATAGTTCCTCTTTTTCGTACTTCCTATCTCAGCGAGCACCAACTTTATTAATGTAAATGATAGAATAGGGTGTATAACTTTCGCTTACGCGTTTACTTCACATTCACGAAATAACTCTCACAGTCCTACATACGCACTTTCCGACTAGAAAGAAGTTACATATCAGCAATTTTATTTTCCATACCAAGATTATTTGGATAGTATCGACATTTACATTATATGTAGGGTGTACTTATCATTAGATATTATTTTCTGTGATCACAAGTTTTTGTTAAATAGTTACTGAAGATGGAATTGATAATAAAAATACTTAGTATTGTAGTGTAAAATTATAAGTAGTTACACTTATGAAAGATCTGATCACCCCTTTCCATTTTTTCAGAAATTATGTCATATTTGTGATAATAATAAAAATATTAATTTGTATTGGTTTTTGCAATTTAATTACAATNTGATTATTTTTATTCCAATTATTGATTTAAATTTCATATAAAACTGAATTTATTATGAAATATCACGCATAGAAAAGACCTTTTAGAGTTGATTTTTCTCGTTTATTTTGGTTGTATTCAACATTTATGAGGAAATTATACATATCTATAATTAACAAAGTAAACATATAAAATATTTTAGTTTCATTTAATCTACTTGATAGTAATTCAGAAGTAGTGTTTGCATGGGTTGCAAGTACATGTACAATACATCAAATTAAAGGTCTCATTTTACTTATTACCAAATAATGCACTATTAAGTGAATGTTTCATGTTTATTCATAAAAGATAAATTCTATTACAAAAAAAAAATAAATACAAGAACTTATTAATGTTTTTACAAAATGTAGGCCACACTTCTTTTATTAAAACATTAGCCTTTAATAACTGCAATCGGTCTTAGTTTGATGCATTTTTTGCTGATTCCTGCAGAGTGACAAGTATTAACAACGTCAGTAACATTTTTATAAGATTCTGGGGCCTCTTCCATAACCAGCTTCGGAGATGCTACTCGAATTGATATTCCCATTTCCTCCAGTTTTGCCAAAACATCGGTGTAATCTAAATTACGTCTCGATTTTGCTCTTGATAATGCTCGACCCTACATATTAAATAAAAAAAAAATTAATTACAAAAAACGTGAAAGATAATTAAGAACCAATATCAAAAGTGTTCTTACTGCTCCGTGACAAGTAGACCCATATGTCTCTATCATTCCTTGCTCAGTACCCGTTAAAACATAGCTGCAAGTACCCATCGTTCCCCCAATTAGTACCGGTTGGCCAGTTAATTGGTAATCTACTGGTATTAAAGGATGATTTGGTGGAAAAGCTCGGGTCGATCCCTAAAAAATGTATAAAATCATTAAAAAATGTTTTTAAGAAAAATATGTGCAGTAAAATAACTCACTTTTCTATGTACAAGAAGTGTCTTTAATTTACCATCTACAACATGTTCTTCAACTTTTGCTATGTTATGAGATACATCGTATATCACGTGCATGTCTAAATCGTCTGGAGTTGTTTGAAATTGTTTGGCAAATGCCTAAAAGTAATAAAAATTATAGTTTTATAATTTTAAAAAGTATAATGGTTTTAATCAATATCAAATTGGTTTCAAATTTGTTACAAAACTTAAAAACATGCATTCTGCAAATTACTTTTAAAAATATTTCTTACCTTCTTATCCTTCTTATTGATTGATTCACAATTTGAAATGCATTTTCAAAAAAATTAATTCTTACCTGTCTAGTTAAGAAAGTCATGGAACTTCTGTTAACCCATGCAAAATTAGCAGCAGCAGCCATGGACTTTAAATAATCTTGTCCTTCTTGAGAGTTAATCCTGGCACAAGCTAGTTGCCGATCGTTTGTTTCTATTTTGTCTCGACTCATTGCTTTCTCCATCTGAACTAATGCATCTGTTGCAACTTGATGTCCAAATCCTCTACTTCCGGAATGGATCATTACACAAACTTGGCCTTTTTCTTCAATCCCCATTTTGCATGCAGCCCATTTGTCATAAATTTCATCTACTACTTGGATTTCTGCATAATGATTACCAGCACCCAAAGTTCCCAACTAAAGATGTAATAGTTTATTTAAAACAATCAAATAAACTGAATTTGTTTTATTAATATTAATACCTGTGGTAATCCTCTTTTTTTTGCCCTAAAACTAACTTTATTTGGATCTGCATTTAACATACGACCATATTCCTCACAATGCTCTTTATCTTCTGCCCAAACATATCCTTCACGAAGTGACCAATCCATGCCCATTTCTAAAGCTTCTTCCAAATCTCTAGCATTCATTGGAATTATACCTGATTCAATATTTTGGATCAAAAAAATATAAAATTAAAAAAAATCTTGAATTACTTACCTTTTGAACCCACTCCTACAGGAATGTGATCAAACAGACTCTGAGCCAACTGTTCTTTTACAGGTGCAACATCATTTTCAAAAAGATTTGTACGAAGTAATCTTACACCACAATTGATGTCGAAACCAACACCTCCTAAAAAATTTTTAGTTTTAAAAATGTTCTATTAACAAATAATTTCATATATACCTGGTGAAACTACCGAATTAGGGTCATTCATATCAAATGCTGCCATGTTACCTATGGCAAAGCCATATCCAGAATGAACATCTGGAAGTCCTATAGACTTTCCAACAATACCTGGAAGAGCAGCAACATTTGCTATTTGTTTAACTCCTGGCAAAAAACCTCCAGTCATGCCAGGTCTACAAGCATTTTTCAGTTCATCTAACATTAATTTTTCCAACGTTGAGTTAACATAAAATACGCCTTCCACATTCATGTTGGGCTGAAAGCCTTTTTTAATTTTCCAGCAGTATGGATTTAGTTTTTCCATGTACTTCAATTCTTCTTCGAACTTTCGTACTACCATTTTCTGTAATTGATGAAGCAATTTCATAATAAATTCACATAATATAAACAAAATCTGATCTTACCGGTTTTTTTTGTACTGGATTTCAGCAGTAATTCTTTCTAATTCGGGTGAAATGATGTTAGTATGCGATGTTCAACTTTCCTTAAAACAACTTATCATAATTATTATATTTGGGTAATTATTATTAATTAATTCAATTATTCCTTTTGGTAATGAAACATTAAAAATTGAAAGAACAAAACTGTTCAAAATACAAATTAGTTAAGGTTAAAGTCATAGGTTAGAGGCATAGATTAAAGCTGTCAACAGAGACAATCTATGACTATATCTATGACAGTGAAAAATCATGGATAAATGTTCGATTAATCTATGGTTGTATTTATGGAATGTAATCGTAAACAGAATCTATGGTACTCAATTAATGACTGATTAATGACGTAATCAACATTTGAACTTTTTAGGTTATCTTGACTGTTAACAACATTCGATAAATAATACATTGTACCTTAATTTATAGTATTCCACTATTATACCTCTAATAAAACTTGGGTTCAACCCTGTTGTATAGTGTAATCATGTCTTTAAACGATTTAGACCCTTATTATATTAAATCTATCAGTGCTCTTCATTCCTACAGTTTTTTAAGTGGTGAACCGTGTGATTTACAAATATATCTGGAAGATGCAATAAAAAATAAATCGGGTTTAAATAAGGAACTGTCGAGTATTATTTCTACTGCTGTTAAACAAAATAGGCTAGATGAAATTAAACCTCATATTAATGTGCTAGAAGAAAGTAAGACTGCCTCTAGTTCAGATAATGAATTGGAAGAACTCATGGATCTCATGTGTATTGTTTGCAAGTAAGAAAGGAAACTTTATGTTTTGATCATGTATTGATTAATGTAAATATTCTAAATTATAGTGAAATGGATGTAGGTGCAAGAAACCGCCTATTGGAATGCAGTGGTTGCCATGCTCTGTATCACCAAGAGTGTCACAGACCTCCCGTTACTTCATTAGAGTCAGATGGTACATGGGTTTGTCAGAATTGTAAGGTAAACTTTGAGTTTTATAACATAGATATTATACAGTATGAACTATTTATTGCTATATATTTACAGGATGCTAAAAAATTAAAGAGAAGTCCTATGCATGCATCTCCATCTAGGGTTCCCTCCCCTTTGTCATCTTCTTCATCTAAGTTGAAACTTTCAACCTCTCAGATTAGAAGCAGTACTTCACCTTTGTATAAAAGTGGTGGATCTAATAAGTCTTCACCAAGTATGTAATCATTACACTGTCATTTTAAAAGTTTTTGAAAAGCTAGTTTTATATCTTTTATTTGTTTAATATATCTCGGGCTTATTTCATCTTATATAATATAGGAAAAGAAATATGTAACAAAGGTAAAAACAAAAACATTTACTAACAAGTTTTTCATCTTATAGCAAATTTTTAATTCAGTGTGATTATATATATTGTTCTTTATTGAAAAATTGATACCAAAATATTATAATATTAATTAATTATCTTTTTAGTTTCTTGGGAAGAAACATCAGGCAAATTATCTCATTCTGGAAAATCTCCTTCTAATATTTCTTCTTCAAACTGCGTGACTCCTAATATTAATATCATAAGTGCAGACAAAAGACTTCAAATTATAAAAAAGAAAGCTGCTAAATTTCATGACAAGCGTAAATAATAAGTTTTATTACTTTTATATGTTGTTACATAATGAGTACTAATAAATGTAATATATTTATAACTGTTTAGGATTGTCTAGATATTATCACATTAAGTTATAAACATAATTGTAATTTAAACTTTTTAAAAAATTAAAAGGACCACTTGATTTATTTGGTATTGCTTAATTTAATATTAGTAATTCACTTTTAATTTTTGCTTATTATATTCCCATGAATGAAATTACTTTATAAATATGGGCTTACATATTTCAAAAAATTGTTTTTCAAAATGTTTGAGTACAATGAGAGCGACATCTAGCATTCAATAGTTAAACATCTGCCAAGTAATTTACGTAACATAAAATGTCATCGAAATATGTAGAACCTGATACAAAGCATTTTTTCTCGTTTTCTCACATTTTACGTTTGGAAGTCGGTAGGTGAATGTTCACATGTGCTTCGATAAAAATACTTTATTTGCAAATTTTATTTACAGAAAGACACCAGGAAAAACTGGAGAATCCAAAAACGTCAAGGTATTTCTAGGACGGATTTTCTGTTTTTACAGTACAGTAAGTACATTTTCTTGTTCAAATAGATAATTTTATATTCGAATCCGTGACACGTCGACCATCATTTTAGAAATGGTGCTTATCGCTTTTTAAATTTGTGGAGTGTAACATCTGGAATTCTTTTAACTCTATTCCGAATAAATTAACTTTATAAAAAGTATGTAATATTCATTACTAGTATTTTTTGCGACCATATGTTTAAAGTAATGAGATTGCATTTTTATTTCTCTAATGAAATTAAATCAAGTAGAGCTTCACAAATATATATTTTTTTTGTTTGATATATATAAATTTTAGAGGACCATAAAAGAATATAATACTTAGATTTTATAAAATTTTCAGAAAATAGTTGTGGTATTTTTTAAGGAATATGAGCAACTTTCTTAAAATAAACAGTTAGGTATGATTAACTTTTTGTTGGTCTAAAATCAATGCAATTAGGCACTTTTTACATTATTCCTAATTTTTTTTAACTAAATCAGGTCAATGCCCTTGTGCTGCTAAATCTATGCAGTGCTTTCAATTTAATAAAGTTTTGAAAAATTTTGCAAAAGTGCCTATAGTATATAATGTGATTTATTTCTACAATCTTGAATATATGTAAATTAATTTTTGAGGTGTTTGATATTGTTATTGAAATTGTTGCAAATTTTTTATTCTTAAATTTCTGTTTTTTGTAACATTAATTTTTAATTTATTAATAGAGCATGTTGTCTTGTAGGTATGTGTTTTAACTGTTTACTTTGTACAATATATAATATTAACAATATTTTGTCAGATTGTTTACTACATCTTTCAATAAATAGTAATAAGTTTATTTTCTCCTTTTATCTATAACACTTAAACTTTCTATTTGTTTAAGTAGACAACAAATCATTACATACATAGAACTTGTACTTTTCTGTATAGTTATGCTGAAGGTCCATTAGGTATTCATCATTAATTTCAAACTATTTTAACTATTAGCTGCAGGTATTTTACCAATTAGTGCTTCAACAGCAAGGTCATAGCACTGATAAACTTTGTTGATTTTTGAAAGATAATTTCACTTCAAATTGAAAATTAATATAAAAGTAATAGATTAAAAGTTAACTAAAGATGTAGGACTATCTCTTTCGCAAATTTTAATTTTTTTCTCATTTCTATTTGCATTCAATTAAAGCAACTTTGTTAATCTGACTTACTTGGTTGAAGTTGTGTTTTCTTTGTTATTTAGTGTTGCTGTAAGACTTGGCGCGACACAGGACACCCCCAAAATGCAGCAATCAGTGATTGAAGAGGGAGCAGCTTACGAACCATCCATTTGTAGTTATGATGCCCTTTTTCCAGCCTTACCAGAATCTAATTTCAACAATGCAAATACGAATAATTCAATGGGACAGAGCAACAACAAGATGCGAGTTGGCTCGTCCATTATCACTCAAGTTTTCAAGTATATTTTCAATATTTAATAGTAGTTATTTTCACTAAAATTTATATTTGTTGTATAATAGAGTCCCATTTAGCGAAAGAAAACTGGATTATAGCGAAAAATTCGGCGAGGGAGAATCATTAGTGATGTGTGCTAACATTATGAAAGAAACAGGTGCTCATATTGAGATATCTTCCAGTAGAGATCAGTCTCTCACATTTCTAGTAACAGGAAAGCAAAATGAAGTTTTAGAAGCCCGAAGGAAGATTTTGACTCATTTTCAAACTCAAGTCAGTTACTTTATTATAATTTTATTACATTTTTGTTATTTCTATATAATATTTAAAGGCTGTCAAACAAATCTCCATTCCGAAAGAGCATCATCGTTGGATCTTGGGCAAAAAGGGAGAACGTTTGAAGGAATTAGAAAAAGTGACAGCAACTAAAATACAAGTGCCCAATGTAAACGATATGTCTGACGTGCTTACCATCACAGGTACTAAAGAAGGAATCGAAAAGGCTGAACACGAAATTCGCGTTACATCTGATGAGCAGTCAAAGAAGGCATTTGAGAGAATTAACATTCCTAAAATATATCACCCGTTCATTCTTGGCGCCTTCAACGAAAATCTAAACGCAATGATTGCGGAAACTGGGGCCAGGATCAATGTGCCTCCCCAATCTGTCATGAAGGATGAGATTGTTATTGCAGGAGAAAAAGAAGGAGTATTGGCAGCAAAAGCCAAAATAGAAGCTATTTATAAAGACATGGTGAGTGAATCATTTAAAAAATCAGAGAAGTGTAATTATTTTTTTCTTAATTTAGGAAAAAAGATGCACCACTGTCTGTGTTGAGGTACCTAAGTCTCAACATAAGTATGTTATTGGACCAAAAGGAGGCACCATTGCAGAAATTCTTCAAACTACTGGTGTAAGTGTCGAAATGCCATCAAATGACTCCAGCACTGGTACAATCACATTGAGAGGTCCTCACGACAAATTAGGTCATGGTAAGCTAATTTACAGGGCGAAAGTATGTGGGGTTGTATTTCTATCAGTAGTTTCTTGTAGCTTTGAATAAAGTGTATGAAAAGGCTAATTCGGTACGATCTACCGATGTTGAGGCTCCTTCCTGGATTCACAAATATATAATTGGACGTAAAGGTGCTAATATAAAAGATATCACACAGAACTTACCCAAGGTCCATGTAGAATTTACTGATAAAGAGAAAATAAAGATTGAAGGGCCACCTGAAGAGGTAGAAAAAGCACAAGAACAGATTGAAGCTCTTGCAAAAGATTTTATCCAAAAATTAACTTTTGCTGAGATCCATATTGATCCACGATATTACAAACACATCATAGGAAAGAACGGGGCAAATGTGAACAGAATGAAAGATGAGACAGGATGTATAATTAATATTGACGAAAGTGGACTTGTCAGAATTGAAGGTAGTCGTAATGGAGTCCAACAAGTCAAAGAGGAACTTGAAGAAAAGGTTTCAAAGTTAGAGAACGAAAAAGAGAAAGATGTCATAATTGAACAGAGACATTATAGGAATCTCATTGGTGCCAAAGGAGAGAAAATAAGGGAAATCAGAGAGAGATTTAATCAAGTTCAAATCAACTTTCCTGGTCCTAGTAAGTTACCACTTTTTCAAATTATGTAAGTAAAGTGTGATATTTCCCATTTACAGTTTTGCTTTTTTTTAAGGCGATAAAAGGGACGTGGTAAAAATCCGAGGTCCTAAGGAAGACGTCGACAAGTGCCACAAATACTTAGTTAAACTAGTAAAGGAATGGAATGAATCCTCCTACCAAGTTGAAGTGCCTATATACAAAAAGTTCCACAAGTTTATAATTGGAAAGGGGGGCATGAACATACGCAAGATACGTGAAGAAACTCAGACAAAAATTGATCTTCCCGCTGAAGTAGACAAAAATGATGTCATAACAATCACCGGTAAGAAAGAAAACGTTGAAGAGGCTAAGGAGAAAATAAGAAAAATACAGGAAGAGCTGGACAATATTGTAACTGTCGATATAACAATACCTCCAAAATTTTATAATTCCATAATAGGAGCTGGCGGAAAGCTTATAAGATCGATAATGGATGAGTGTGGTGGAGTCAGCATAAAATTTCCTAACACTGAGAGTAAGAGTGATAAGGTTATGATTAAAGGACCCAAGGAAGACGTCGAAAAGGCTAAACAACAACTGTTAGAATTGACTAATGAAAGACAATTGTCAAGCTATACAGTTGAGGTAATTTCTATATTTTTTTTTATTAAAAGTTTCTTCTTTATATTGATTATCATTACTTGTCCGTCAATTGCTATATGTTTTTATTCCATTTTTTCAGGTAAGAGCTAAACCTCAACATCATAAATTCTTGATAGGTAAGAATGGTGCTAATATAAAGAAAATTCGAGAATCAACTGGCGCTAGAATTGTTTTCCCGTCCAACGATGATGAAGACAGAGAACTGATTACTATTATAGGAAAGAAAGAAGCTGTTGAGAAAGCTAAAACTTATCTGGAAATTTCCATTAAGGATATTGTAAGTTTATCTTCCTTTTTTTTAATAAAATAAATTCAAACCTAAGAATTTACTATATCGTATAAAATCAAATTCAGTTTTTATTTTAATTTTAATAATATAATTTTTACGTGAAGGACAACATCGTTGAAAGCGAAATGACCGTCGATCAACGTCATCATAAACATTTCGTTGCCCGTAGGGGTGAAGTTTTACATCGTATCACCGATGAATGTGGCGGTGTGATGATATCTTTCCCCAGGCCAGGAATAGAAAGTGATAAAGTTGTATTAAAGGGTGCGAAGAACTGTATTGAGGCTGCTAAGGCTCGAATAGAAGAAATAATCACTGATCTTGAATCAATGATCACAATCGACTGTATCATTTCTCAAAGACATCATCGTACAGTCATGGGAGCAAAAGGCCAAAAAGTACAACGAATTACTGCTGAATATGAAGTGCAAGTTAAGTTCCCTGAAAGAAATAACATGGGTGAGTAATATTTTTATATTACATTAATTATTATAATTTGTTATTTATTTCGTTTGATCTTGAATAATGAGTACTTGTATTTTTAAATTTTTAGATGAGTATTTTCCTCTTAATGGTCAAGTTAATGGAGACGCCGAGGCCGAATCAGTTCGTCAATGTGACGTTATTCGTATTACTGGCAAGGAAGAAAACTGTTTGAAAGCCAAACAAGCCCTTTTAGATCTCGTGCCAATCACTATAAATGTTGATGTTCCGTTCGAATTGCACCGTTCACTAATAGGACAAGGAGGTCGCGAAGTTAGAGGGTTAATGGACGAATATGATGTGCATATTGTCCTCTCGCCTGCTGAACAGAAAGAGGACATAATAAAAATAACTGGAACTCCTGAAAATGTGGAAAGGGCGAAATTGGCCGTTCAAGAACGCGTCAAAGAGCTTGAACTTGACCGGAAAGACAGAGAGCTAAGGTCTTTCACGTTGAAAATTGAAGTTAATCCTGAATATCATCCAAAAATTATTGGACGTGGGGGCGCCATTATCAAGAAAATTAGGAACGACAACGATGTGCAGATAATTTTCCCCAAGAAAGGCAAGTGACTGTAAAGTGAAAATTCAAAATGTTATTGAATTAATGGTTGAATTTTATTAAATAATTGTTGCCATTCCTTTCTTTTTGTTTGTAGGTGATCCAGAAGAACATGTTATAACAATTGTGGGCTACGAAGAGAATACCAAAAGAGCATCGAACGATATAATGAAGATCGTTAACGAACTTGACGAAATGATTCGAGAAGAGATTTTCATTGATTCACGCGTTCACTCGCGACTGATCGGGTCCAGAGGACGCAATGTTAGAAAGATTATGGAAGATTTTAAAGTCGACATCAAGTTCCCTAGACCAGATGATCCCGATCCAAGTGTTGTAGTGATCAGCGGCCAAGAGGAGAACGTAGCTGACGCTAAAGATCATTTGCTTAATTTGGAAGAAGAATACGTAAGCTTTTCTTGTCTATTCGATTTTTGTATTGATATTAAAACGTTGTGGTGTCTTATTTTCTAATTATGCATTTTGTATTATTTCAGATGCAGGACGTACAGGAGCAAGAGCTCCGAGATAGTTACCGTCACTCTTTAAGCAACGCGTTTAACGAGAGTCCTAGAGACAAGAAAACAGACGATAGCGGTTTTGTTGTACAGGGTGCCCCCTGGGAACAACGTGCTCCGAATACTGCAAGTGTGACCGAATTCCCATCTTTTGGAGGCGGAAGCGGTACTCAGGAAGTACAAGCGTCTCCCGTTTCTGGTGTCTGGGGATCCAGACATTGAAATTATTAATCGTTTCTATTCTAATGCCATACTGTAAGCGTAAAACAAAACCAGAACATCGGTGGCAGTCTTTTATTAAGACTTAGAAAAACAGGAAACAATAATAATAATAGTAATATTAATATTAAAAAGTGATCAATTTTTATAATGATAATACACGCGTAATTTTTTTAATTGTGTTTAGAGCATTGGTTGGTTGGTTCGTACTTTATTGCTTAAACAAAGAATAAATTTCTTCAACTTTTTGTTGTCTGTGATAAAAGAGCAAGACACCACTGCAGGTAGACAAAACCTTATTAGTTTTCTTTATTATTTGTTCATGATTCTTGCCGAATTTATAATTTCATTTTCATTTAAAGTGACAACGGTGTTGATATAGTTTTTTTGGTGCCGTTGTTTAATCACTGCCAGAAAAATATTCAAAAATAAACCGATTTGTGACATTGGTAACGGGCAATTATGTATATGCAATCAACCACAGTTACTTTTCTTGAAATTACTAGTGCACTAATTATATTGTTTGATTTTGCAGCTTAAACATTATCTTGCGAATTTTTGAAATTATTGTGGAAGTTCAAATTTTGATATATTTTTTAAACGTGCTTATATGATTTTTCGCATTTTTAATTGGTGCCAAGTGGTTGATTGGGTAAACGAAAAATCATTAACTGGTGTTGAATGATTAGAAAACTTTTGGCCTTCGGTGGCTGCGTCCTCTTTTTCACTGTTTGCTGCATTGATAAATAATTGGCTTGGCTAACGTTAAATGGACTTTGAAAACGGAAATGATTTTAAACACAGTCGAAATAGGATTTCACATACGAATTTTAGGTCTTCCTCATCTTGTCGGTTGAGCAGTTGTTACAAATAAGGAAAGCTCATCGACACGATTACAAAGGGCCTAACCGCGTCTCACATCAGAATGGAGATGTCGTCGATGATATTATGCATAACTTACTATGATTAAATACAGTTTACTACTGTTAATTAATTAATTGATTAATTATTACTGCTATCATTTAATAACAATTAGTTTTTTTTATATGTATATATAATCAGTTATATTTTTCATTTTAGTCAGTTATGTGTGTGGTTGCGGCCTGTGTGACCACGTAATTTTCTATATAGCTATGCAAAACGTTGTAAGTTTCCTAAAAATATTTTTTCATTGAGTATATTAATATATAGAAAATGTTGTTTTAGCTAATGTCTGGTTTTATTAAACGTTTTCTTTGGGATTTTGTTGCAATACTTTTCCTTTCCCTTCTTTAATACTTGTTTTTGTGTGCTCTTGATAAAAATTAAATAACGGTTAAGTTAAAAATATGTTTTCACGTATTTTTTGCTTCATCAGAATGCAAGAATTTGTTTTGATTAATAAAGCATTTTAGTGATAAGTAGCCTCTTTTTTTTGTTTATTAGGAATTTAGACTATAGACAGATTAAATAGGCATAGAGAAGAATAAAAGAAGTTAGATAATATAAACTCAGATAAAGAAATGGTTACAAAACATTCTAAAATTTTTCGGCCTTACTTTTGTTCTTTTTAATTATCCTGGCTTTTATAGTGTTTATTTCGCCCTTTAACAATTTTAAAAAGAAAAGGAAATTGCATTTCTAAAACTAATTAAAACAAGAAATAAAATGTTAATATTGCATGTATATTGTAGATTTGATAGGTATGTGAATTTTTTACAGTATATATAGTAAAAAGAAGTAATAACACTTATTAGTTAGGATAATTGAATCTTACCTGTATGCGTAAAGTGTTTTATTTACTAATAAATTAAAAAATAACAATATTAAAAGTATTTTAAAACTCCGTTGTAAACTCGCATAATTTTTGACTGATACTGTACAGTTAGAAAAGTGTCTTCTTATTCTTCTCTACTCTTTACTATTTCTCTTTGTCGGTTGTACGTACTATCTTCATTCTATGTTCCTTTCTATCTCTTTCTGATTGGGTAGCGATTCTCGAAAGATGTTTTGTTTGACCGGCATTTGTGGAAAATATGTGAATTTTATTTCAGAAATAAGTACATCGTTGTATAAAATAGTAACGCGATGATTATGTCGGTGTTGTTTAATAATTTCATTTGTTGTAGTGTTGTCATTGCGAATGTATACGCGTCAACGGTGTATTTTGATTTTTATGCGGTAATTTTGATAAACAATAATTAATGTAGATTAAAAAGTGAATTGATAGTGGTGATAATGGACAAGCGTGGTCGGCCATTATGATATTTTTAAGTGTATAGGTATGCATGTGTATTTCTTACCTCTTGAATTTTATGATTACTTAATATAAATTTTTGAATAATTGTCAGTCTATTTTTAATTTCATTCAGTACCTTGCATTGTTATCTACTATTTACTAATTATTTATGTAATTAGTCTATTAATTTAGTGTTTTTAAGTGGATTTTGCATAGTATGTGGAGTAACTTAGCCATTAACAATTTTTTACTTTTTTTTCAGATAACTGCAACTTGATGTCGGAAAAGCAGATGGGTAAGTCTTCATTTATGACTGATTTATATGATTGTCCAGTTTTGGATAATTTTTTTGCACTATCCTTGGTTTGTACCTATTTGCGTTTTCTTTAGGTAACGATTTTCACATTCAGGGTGGTTTGTAACTCGAAATTTCAGCTTGTAACTCTAAATGTTTATTGAATTGCAACCTAACTCAATCCCAACCTAAGTTCAGGCAATTTTAAGGGAGAACAGAAGTACTACACCACTCATTTCGTTCTTGTTGTCTTTACCTACTGTAACCTTATGATTACAACCACTCGAACGAAATCATTAAGTTCAATTATGTTGTAGGACTCTTGTCCTTTCCTAAAATTGCCTTAACTTAGGTTGGGATTGAGTCGAGTTGCAAATCGACATTTTAACTTGTAACTCGAAATTTTAAAAAAGGTTTATGCTTGGACCTTTTACGTTTTTGTAAGTATTCACTCAGTCTACAATATTTTACAATTAAGTAGTCTTTCTTCATCGGCATTAAATGTTTTTATTAAAGGTGTATAACAAACAAACACTTTTTTAATAAATCGTTTATTTAAAGCAAAAATTAATTATCACAATTTTAACAGTTAATATTGAGTTACAAAACAGTATCGAAAAAATAACATTAATAATTTTAGTTAGTTTAGTGAGTGGGTTTTAGGACTTAACAGGAATTAAATGTAATGTTTTTTTGTTCGTTCATAAAAAATAAAACCAAGCGTCTTTTAAACAGTAATAAACGTCATAGTACGACAAAAATTAAATAAAAAATGACTAAATTATCGTCCTAAGTAAAATCAGTCAGCACCAATTTAGAACACTTTGGACATAGCATAATTTCATTCATTCAACATTCATTCTTTATACAATATATAAAAAGTAGTCTTTTAACATTGCTAAATCTTCCAAAGGCTTCAAAGTTAAGTAATAGGAAAATATCTAATAATTTCTATGAGAAAGAAAGAATGCACCAAAAAAATAAACAAAAAAGTTACAAAATGAGTTAATTTTTTATTTTAATTTTGTAGCAATTTAGTTCAGGACAGAAACCACCACCAATTTAGTTTTCCCATGTTATTTGATATTTAGCCAATGGAAAAGATAGTACGAAATGTATAACGACCCTTATGTTATTTAGTAATTTGAGTTATGCAGGGTCTTTACACATTCTATTCACTAACAAAAGGGAAAGTTTACAGTTGTAATTCATCGTATCTGTCGGAGTGAGTAGACTTTCGATTAAAAATTTAAACTGTAAACTGACCTTTCGAAAAAAAAAAAACCAATATCGTACGATATGCTTCGAATCTAGCAAAAAGTTGTGTTCATTAAACAAGAGTATTTTTGTTTTCCTTTTGTTCTAACCGAATTCAATATTTACAAATTGTATTAATTTTCTTGATTTCTTCGGTTTACAAGGCAGCGTCATCGTTATCTAAAGCTACGTATCGGTTTGATAAATACTTAATCTAATATCTACAAAATTATTCGTTAATTACGTGAGGTAATCAGGACTTGGTTCTGCCATCGGTTCGGGGGTTGTGAACAGAGGGTTGGGAAATTCGGGAGGATGCGGCAATGGACCGCTAATCTTCGGCTTTCGGCGATAGGCCATTAGCCAGCACGATACTGCTACGGCTATGGCTACTAAGGCCAAAAGGGCCGTCAAAACTAAAGCTATTATGAATCCAACAATTGAGACGCAGATATCTTCCACTCTTTGAGCACTTGCTGTTAAAATAATAAAAAAATGCACTTTTAATTCGATACAAAAAAAAAATAAATATTGGATTATTTAATGATATTTTTAAACAATTGTGATATGTACCTTCTAACTGGACGGCTGTTTTTGCTTTTGCCCAGTGTTTTATTTGATTTTTATAATAAAAGCAGTCATAAATTTTTTGATTAATTAAATTAACGATAATATAAGTTTTTTGTGACTTTATGTATTGGTAAACGATTTGTTTAATTGCAAAATCTCCTACCTTCAGAATAATCTGCGGGGCGTTCATCCCTTCTTTCAAATGTTAGGATTGCGTTTGATTGTATAGTTATTTCTTCTCTCAATTGACCGCTCATTAAATCATTCGCTTCTGCTACATCGGTTGAATTTTCATCACCAGCGTCTCTTTTTCTTCGTCCAAACGCATTGTATCCGCGGCAATTGACCTGCGCAAAAATAATCACGTTTTTTCGAGTGAAATATGAAAGAATGATCAAAAGCATAGGAAATACTTACGGGTTGACATCTGCCGAAACAAACGCGGATGTTACATTGGAATCTGATGTTGTTGCTGCTGGGGAATTTGAATGCGTTAAAACTGGCCAATAAGCTTTGAGTATCGGCGTTGTATTCCCATTCGCCGAAAATGGTCGGATCGGTGGCACATCCGTTTTCATCGGTTACTAGATATTCGTTTTCTACTTTGTCTCCCATTGTCTTAGCGACGCAGCTCCTTGCGAATCCTCCGTATATCGATCCTGGTTGTACGTCGACTTGTAACATCAGATTGTCTCCAATTTCCGCAGAGTTCACTTCGTCACCGGTTTGAGTCACAATTTTCATGGTACATACTGGAGGTGGTCCGGTATTGGCTATCGTTCCCGCAGTTGTAAGCATTGATACGTTGAATCCTAGAGTGATGTTCTGTTCTCCTGTTTGGTAGACACATTTTATGTGGTACGCTTGGGCTTTGTAAGTGACCAGTTTCGGATGTTTTTGGATTACGAGAACGAAGCTTGCTTGACCCTAAACATAAATTAAGAAGATGCTCAGATTGGCCTTACACTACACCAGCTGCCTTTTGGGGGTTCCCCCGTGAAAAATTTTTATAACTTAATCTATGATACCTGTTCCTGTAGACCTTAGTGGAATGATGTTTAAGCTAAAATCTTTGCGAAAGAATACACTTTCGATGCGAAAAGAATTTTGATGATATAAGTAGCAATTTAGAACAAACAAACTGATAAAAATTACCTTGATATTGTACCACACAACTTACATTGACATGTATGAGTCCGCAGTTACCAAATTGGACTTTAAATATTTCTGTTCTTGGTTCTGAATATTCTGACGGTAGAGATATTATTCTCCTACATTGTTCATCCTTGCTGTGTCCTTTGACGTATAGGACACCATTGAAACCTTGTTCTGCTATGCGGATTTTAACTTTGACTCCGTCAGAAAGACAGCTCACGACGATTTCTGGTGGTGGGAAATCTTTTCTGGATGAATGCGATACTGAAAAGAAGAGTTTGATTTTCACAAGACATTGGTTAAGATAGGTAGGGATGAGTTACAAAGATGGAAAAGTGATACTTAGTTTGTATAAAGAGCAACAAGCAGTTATAGAGCTGGGGTTGCAACGTAGAGAAGTAAATATTAGAAAGAGAGTCAGACAGGGATGCACACTGTCACCGCTACTTTTTAATCTATACATCGAAAACGCGATCAACATCATTTAAGACAGATGTGCAAGGGCAAAAAAAATAGTATGCTTAGATGTGCAGATGATATAGCAGTATTAGCATCTAGCAAGGAGGATAGCATTAAATAAAATGGAAGCGGTACTGACAGATCACATGAAAATAAATGAAAGTAAAACTAAAATACTGGTATGCAAGGGAAGAAAAAGTAGAGAAAGAGCGAATGTAAAGGTAGGAGACGAAAAATTAGAAGAAGTGGCTGATTTTAGATACATAGGAAGTCAGATAAGTGAGGATGGAAGAAGTAGTAGGGATATAAAGCAGAGGATAGCGCAGGGTCGTGTCGCCTTTAATAAAAAGAAGTCATTTCTATGCTCGCGAACGGTTAATTTAGAAATTCGAAAAAGGTTGTTAAAGGTGTATGTTTGGAGCACGGCGTTGTACGGGTGCGAAACATGGACAGTGGGCGCGGCGGAAAAGAAAATGTTAGAAGCGTTCGAAATGTGGTGCTATAGGCAGATGATGAGGATAACGTGGGTAGAAAAGGTTAGAAATGAATAGGAGAACAGAGGACTCCATGGAAGTCAATAAAAAATAGGCGAGATAGGTTGGTAGGACACCTTCTTAGGCATGAAGGTCTAGTCAGAGACATACTAGAGGTAGAAACAGGAGTTGAGAGGGTTAGTTAGATTAGATGTTCGCAAATAGTTAAGGATGAGGGTTGTTCTAGTTTTAGAGAAATGCGAAGTTTAGCTTAGGATAGCAGAGTGGAGGTTCGTGTCCAACCAGTCTTAGGACTGACGACCTTATGATGATGATGATTGGTTAAGAAAAATTTCACTTAATACTTACTGCATTTCTTTTCAGCGTCTCCCACATAATCCGGTCTACACTGACACATACCACGATGACGGGTGGCATTACAGAATGCATTTTCCCCGCATATTTTATCGATACACGCGTCTTCGCATGTTTTTGTTGTTGGTTTACATAATTTGTCGTCAGAACAATCATCATCGGTCTCACATTCGGGTTGTACAGGTGTCGGAATGCATTTTCCTTCTTTGTTCAATCGGTAACCGTGTTCTGTTGGGCACACACAGTTTCCTCGTTCGTCTATAATGAAACCGCGTTCCAAATCGCACACGCAACGACCTGATTCGTCTATTTTAAATCCTTGTTCAGGGAGGCAAGGAATACAGTCATCATTATCGTTAAGGGCTCGAGGAGGTGGACATATACATCTACCGTCAGATGTCCGAATGTAGCCCTTGTCTATCCTGCATTCTGTTACTAGAAAATAATTTAAGTTATAGATAAATAGTAAAAATGCAATAATTAAGGATTAAAGTATTTGGTGGTAAATTTTACAGAAAACCTAGAAGAAATTGCATATTTCCTACCTTAAGTTCTGGGGTAGGGAACGAAACATTAATATTAGAAACGTAGAAATGGAAAGTTGGAACCATCAGCCAAGAAAGATTACGGTTTGATAAGATTTTGTGAGGGTTGGGGATATAAATAAGTGAAATTTTCAGTAGGATGTTTACCTTTATCGCATCGGACAATTGCGTTCCCTTGATATCCAGGTAAACATTCGCAAACCATTGTTCGAACGGGTACAGTGTTAGCAACTTTACATTTGGCATTGATTCCGCAGGGTTGGGTGGCATTACAAGGATTGACACAATCGCTTTCGATACAGGCAAGTTCTAGAGGGCAGTCGGAATCGATTTTGCATTTTTCTTCAATTTTTGTACACTTCATATTTTCATCGTTAACATATCCGGGTGGACAGGCGCATTGTGGAATGTGATTGTAAACTTTGCATTCAGCGCTCTTGTCGCAAATGTCGCCTTCCGCACAAGGGTTTGCGCATTGCTTATTAATACAAGCGCGATCGGTTGGACAGTCGGAGTTACTGCGGCAACCTGCTGCAACACAGGAAATCGCCGGGTCACCCCTAAGTCCAGGCGGACAGTCGCAAATGGCTCGATGATTTACCGGATAGCACACAGCTTTGGTGCCACAAGACGAGCCGTCAGGAGCGCAAGCAGGAACGCATCGTTGGTTTACGCAAGTGTGTTGACTTGAACAGTCGTCGTCACTTCTGCATCTTACAAGAACGCATTCGATTTCTGGATTTCCTTCAAAACCAACTTTACATGAACAGATAGGTTTATGGTTTCGGATGGTACATTCCGCGTTACTACCACAAGTGCAAGGGTTTCTACATAGGGCATTGATACAAGCTTTGTCACTCGGACATTCACTGTCAGCAACGCAAGCGCCAATTTCTTTGACCGATGTTGTTGGTCGACACGTTCCTTTTCCGCTACTAATGTATCCTGGTGGACACACGCATATCATTGTTCTTAACGGAATAGATGGAATAACCTTGCATTCAGCGGGTCTTTGACAGGGTATTAGTACTGAACACGGTTCTTGACATTTTCGATTTAAGCAAGCTAAAGTATTTGGACAATCACTGTCTTGTCGGCATTCGGGTTGAGGCTCTAGGTGGCAGTCGATGTAGGGATTACCGTTATATCCGGATGGACATTTACAGAGGGAAATGTGATTTTGGACTTTGCATTCCGCCCTCGATGAGCACGGATTGCTGTGTACGCAGGGGTTAACACATTGTGCGTTTACGCATTGTCGATCGTGTGGACAGTCGCTGTTTGATCTACAACCGATTACCAAACATTTATCGTAAGGATTTCCTCTAAAACCACTCAAACAACGACATTGTGCCCTGTTATTATACGTAAAGCATTCCGCGTTAGAACCGCAGGGGTCTTTTACTAAACAGGGATCGATGCAATTAGCATTAATACAAGCCCTTCCTGAGCCACACTCTGAATCAGATCTGCATCCGACCGTATGACAGGCAATATTGGGATTTCCGTCGAAACCGTCTTTACAAGAACATATGGGACGGTGATTTTGAACGAAGCATACAGTATGAGTACCGCAATTGCAAGGGTTTCGACATATTCTATTAACGCAGGCTTCGTTGTCGGAGCAATCGTCATCTGAGGTACATCCAGGTGGTACTGGGATAATGACAGGTAGACATTCGCCGTTATCGTTTGACATCCAACCTTCCGGACAAGTGCAAGTCAACGTTCGAACCGGAACGGTATCCACTGCATTGCAGGATGCTGTCCGGTGACATGGTGATAATTTGCTGCATGGATTTTCGCATTTGTTATTGATGCAAGCAAGTTTACTTGGACAGTCCAGATCTAGTTCACATTCGGGTCGTTCAGCAACAGTTGTAATTGGTAAACAGTATGATAGTGGATTTCCTTCAGGGAGATGAGGTGGACATTGGCAACCAGCGGCATGATTTTGAACGTAACAAATTGCGTTTTCAGCGCAAGGTGGATTCGCGACGTTGGTGCAGGGGTTGACGCAATGCTTTTCTAGACATGCTCGATTGTTGGGGCAATCGGAGTCTATGCTACATTCCACCCGTTCACAGAGGTTAAACGGATTTCCGGAATATCCATCGGGACACCTACAAAGAGCCCTATGATCGCTTCCAAAGCATTCTGCATTTCTCGCACAAGGATTTTCAAGTATACACGGATTTAGGCATTGTCCATTGTAGCATTGCTTGTCGCTTTCACATTCTGAGTCTGAACGACATCCAACTGAAACATAAATTCGTGATTAGTCGTTCGGGTGTGTAGCGGTTAACTAACTTACGTTTCACACAACCATTGTCCGGATGTCCAGAGTATCCTGGCTTACAGAAGCAGATAGGATAGTGATTTGCAACTGTACACTCTGCATTTGGTCCACAATTGCAAGGATTTACGCAAAGTTCGTTTACGCATGCTTCTGTGCCGGTACAGTCGGAACTAGACTTGCAGCCAACTGTTAAACTCGCTAAAATATGGAAAAGGTTGTTTTGACACAGTTCGAAATAGTGTATGATAAGGTAAAACTTACGAGCTATGCATTCCACTAATGGGTTCCCTTGGTATCCTTGAGGACAACTGCACTTTGGTTGATGATTTCTAACTGCACAGAAAGCTCCGAATCCACACGGTTTATCAGTTACACAGGGGTTTATACAAATATCATTTCTACAGCCTTTGTCCATTGGACAATCATGGTCAGTACTACATTCAGGTATGGGAAGGGGTATAGGCAATTTGACTTCTGTAAAATATTTTTGTTAATTACTTAAGATATAGATCCTAGAAAATATCATCAAACAAACCTCTAGTGCATTCGATATGGGGATTTCCGCTATAACCGGTCGCACAAGTACAAACAGCCTGGTGATGTAATGAGCTACATAACGCGTTGTAACCGCATATGTCTACTTTGCAAGCTTCTATACAGTATCCTGTTCTGCACTTTTCCTTATCACTACAGTCGTAGTCTGTGTGACATTGTAGTTGAACAACGGATTTGCAGTGGCCTGTTTCGTCAACGAAAGTGTCCTGTGGACACTTGCACATGACTGTTCTCAGTGGGGAGCTGTCTGTGACACTGCACTCTTGGTCAGAGGAGCAAATGTTGGTGACAGTACAAGGATCTTGGCATATGGTGTTGATGCACGTAAATTGGGATGGACAGTCTGAATCAATGCGACACATCGGCGTTGGAATTGGAATTGGTAGAGGTGCTAAAGATGTAAAGACTAAGTTGTAAAAACAGTATCAATAAGTAAATTGATTTTGACTTACCGGAACATTGTACGAATGGATTGCCGGTGGTTCCAAATGGACAAGAACAAATCGGTTGATGATTTCGACCAACACAATGTGCTGTTGTGGCACAAGTGTCGTCGTTGCATACGGGTCTGCATACTCTGTTCAAACGGTCACACGCTTCGTGGTCAGCGCAGTCTTCATTGTATTGACATACCCCTGCTATGCAAGATATAAGGGGGTTGCCTTGGGTACCAGAAGGACATTGGCAACGGGGGAGATGATTTTGTACAACGCATTCGGCACCACGTCCGCAGGAGTGTGTGACACATGGATTGACGCAGTTTTTGTTAATGCACGATTTATCGTAAGGACACTCGGAATCGGTGGTACATTCCGCTGTAAAAAGTTGAAAATATTTATTAATGTTTTAGTTAGTGCCATAACAGATTTTGCCAGAGAAAAGGATTATTAATTGTAAAATTGTAAATAAATCTGTAACAATTTCTTACGTCTATAACACTGCAGTTGTGGATCTCCACCCCAGCCGTCTGGGCAGACACATGTTGGTCTATGCTGGGTCACGCGACACTGTGATCCAGTTCCGCATGGGCTTAAAATGCAGGGATCTTGACAATGAGTGTTGATGCAAGCTTTGTTAATGGGACATTCCGAATCGGCTTTGCACTCCACAGCAATCGATACTATGAATTAAAAAACAATTACGTTTTAATATTTGTTAAAAAAAATATTGAGTATTCAAAAATACCTTCGTAGCATTTAACAAATGGATCGCCAATAAGTGCAGGCGGACATTTACATGTTGCTCGATGATTGACAGAGTAACATTTTGCATTTTCGCCGCACAGATTAATACCGATACATGGATTGATGCATTGTCCATTGATGCAGGCATCAGATGATGGACATTCTTCGTTACTTCTGCAGCCTGTTTGTTTCTCTTCTCCTATTACTGCAAATTAAAAACGTGTATTGAACTCTTTTGAGTATAACATTTCACAAACATTATTTATTTTACATTTATTAGAAGGTTAGAAGCGTTCGAAATGTGGTGTTATAGGCGAATGATGAGGATAACATGGGTAGAGAAGGTTAGAAATAAAGAGGTATTAGAAGGAATAGGAGAACAGAGGACTCTATGGAAGCCAATAAAAAATAGGCGAGATAGGTTGGTAGGGCACCTTCTCAGGCATGAAGATCTAGTCAGAGACATATTAGAGTCAGAAACGGGAGTTAGGAGGGGTTGAGGTAGACCTAGATTAAATTACTGTTCGCAAATAGTTAAGGATGTGGGATGTTCTAGTTTTAGGGAAATGCGAGGATTAGCTTAGAATAGAAAGGAGTGGAGGTGCGTGTCCAACCAGTCTTAGGGCTGATGACCTTATAATGATATGATGATTTATTTTTGAAAAGCTGATATTTTACTAGGTTAGAATATTTGGTCTGTTTTTTACAAGTATGGTTCCTGTATTGTCTTAAGAATTACCTTTCCTACATTCCAAATTGGCATCACCGACGTAGTTCGGTAGACATGTACAAGACATCGTTTTTAGCGGAAGTGTATCGACTACTATACATTCAGTGTTTACTCCACATGGTTTTGTGATGAGGCAAGGGTTTTGGCAAGTGCCACTGTAGCAGGCGTATTTGCTTGGGCAGTCTGCATCAATCCTACATTGTGGTTGAGATATTTCTGAAAAATAACGACATCATTTAGACGATTAGTCAATAAATATAAATTCCATCAGTAATTTACCAATAGCTGTGCAAGATATGGCAGGATTTCCTGTAAATCCAGGTGCACAAGAGCATTGGGGTTGATGATAATTGACTATACACAGAGCATCGACTCCACAGTTGCAAGGGTTCTCACAACGTTCATTTCTGCAAGCCAAATTTAATGGACATTCATTGTCAGTGACGCATTCGGGTTTTTCGCATTGCACATATGGATCTCCTCTGTAATTCGGTGGACAGAAGCAACTGGCTCTATGTCGTGATGTTGACTTACAGAGTGCGTTTACTCCGCACTGGGTGAAAGTGCAGGGATCAATGCATTCTCTGTTTATACACGATTGGCTCACTGGACAATCAGAATCCGCTCTACACCCGACTAAAATAAGACAAACATAACAGTTCAGAATCAGTTGCATTTCACACAGTAATGTAACTCTTACTCTCAATGCAAGCAGTTTGTGCGTTTCCAGTGTATCCGTCGCTACAGACGCATATTGCACGGTGGAGTTGCACGAAACACTGTGCGTTTAATCCACAGCTACCTACGTTTTCAGCGCAAGGGTTTACACATCTGCTGTTTATGCAAGATTTGTCGTTTGAACAGTCGTCATTTTGTACACATTCTGGTTTAGGAGCTACAAATAATAAAGTTTTATTATATTATTTAGTAAAAAAGTTTTCTGCGGCATGGAAATTCTAAAATATCTTGAATAATGTGAGAAAAATGCACAGCAATAGTAATTTTGCACTTTACTACAAACCATTAACAAATGTTTTGAGCTATTCAACCAGTCTCAATGAGTCAACGGAAACTGTAGTTTTGTTAATTCTTAGAGAATGACATTTTTGACAATAATTGTCAGAGGTATGTAATAATTGTGTAAAATTACTGCTGCAGTGTTAATCATACCAATCTCGATGAGTTGTTGACAGGAAACTTCTGGAGTTCCGGTGAAACCAACTGGGCAAGCACAGACTGGTCTGTGGTTCACGACCTGACAAAGCGCGTTGATTCCGCAAGCGTCAATGCAAGGGTTTACGCATTTTTGTAAGTAACAGGTCTTGTCTCGTGAACAGTCCGAGTTAACAACGCACTCAGGATAAGTACATACGGCAACTTCGTTGATAACCTTGCAGTGACCGTTTGGACTGCATGGAGAAGGTTGACAGGGGTTTTGAGGTTCTTTTCGTTGCTCGGTACACGATACAAACGGATCTCCGACTAACGGTACGGGACAAGAGCACACTGGGCTGTGATTTATAACTTGACATTGGGCTCCGAAGCCGCAAACGTTAACGCAAGGGTTTACGCATTTGTTGTTAACACATGCTTTGTCTCTCGAGCAATCGGCACTAATAGTACATTCTGGTCTGCAACCGCCTGCAGCTGGTGTTCCGAAGAAACCTGGTTGACATTCGCAAATAGCGTTTCCATTATGCACACGACATACGGTGTTGATTCCACATGGCGATGGTTCGCATGGGTTTGTTGGTTGTGGTTCAACTTTAACAATTTTCGAGTTAGTTTAAATAATTACGTATTTTGAGTAAATCTTACTTTTTGGAATGGGCGCGCAAATTCTAAAGGCGTTTCCTGTCAAGCCGTCTGGACATGAGCAAATTGGTATGTGGTTGCTGACTGTACAAATAGCTGCCACGCCGCATGTTCCTGGACAGGGATCCTGGCATTTGTTTCTTATACATGCGAGGTTCATGGAACAATCTGAGCTAACTAGACATTCCGGTCTGCAACTTTCGTAAGGATTTCCGTGATATTCCGGGAGACATTCGCACACCGCGTAATCATTCTCGATTCGACAGTGAGTATTGGGACCGCATGGTGATGGTACGCATGGATTTTTCTTGACGGGTGGTTCAACTGAAAACATAGTATTGCAAGTCAATTGTATTTAGGTGTAGGTAGAACAACATCGGTATAACACGAAATGCTTTTTAGATTGTTAAATGAATTTAACTTTGCCAGTAGACCGACTAGTTGTTTTTTCTAGGTTTTTATTCCATTTAATAAGAGCGACATTTCGACTTGTGTACAGTCATCATCAGGCTGAAGTTATAAAATTTGTCATCTTTGATATCATTCTTGAATTCAAGTCAACGAAATGTAAACAAATCTTCCATGGTTACAGATAAAGGCGATGGTAACGAAGATGTTTTTACATCTGAATGATATCAAAGTTTAGAACTTCAGCTTGATGATGCCTGTACACAAGTCGAAACGTTGCTCTTATTAAATGGAATAAAAACCTAGAAAAAACAACTAGTCGGTCTACTGGCAAAGTTAAATTCATTTAACAATTTAAAGAATTTAATTTCACCGACAAAATTAGATTTTACATTAATAAATTTGAAATGCTTTTTATTGGAAAACGAGTAATATGGCGCCTTAGAGTACTTTATAATGTCACCGGGAGAGAGCTTACTCGGTTTCGGTGTACATTGAGTGAAAGGGTCTCCGATATAGTTTTCTATACAAACGCAATTGGGGATGTGTGAGGTTACACGGCATTCAGCGTTGTATCCGCATGAACCAATGCAGGGATCTTGACATTTGAGATTTATACAGGCTAAGTTGTTAGCACATTCTGAGTTACTAATGCACTCTGGTTTACAGTAAGGCGGGGAACCGATATAGTTATCGAGACATTCGCATCTATAATTGTCATTTATTTCGATGCATCGGGAATTAGGACCACAGGGTGATGGTCTACACGGGTTAACTTCGGCAACTGTTGGTGTTTGAATTACTTCTGTAAAAAGAAAAAAGAATAGAAATTATTATCAGTTGGGATTTTATTGGTCGAGTTCGTTTTCAAACTTCGCGTACCGATTCGATAACATCTCGAAAATGGATCTCCCGTGTTTCCTGTAGAACAGCTGCAAATAGGATTGTGATTAACGACGTTACAAACGGCTTCAAAGCCACATGCTCCTGGACAAGGATTCACGCATTTTTGGTTGATACAAGCTGTTGTCAAAGAACACTCGGAGCTGACAGTACATTCTGGTCTACACGATGGAGGACTACCAATAAATCCAGGGATACACGTACAAACTGCTTGGGAATTTATTGTTCTGCATTGACTGTTTGGACCGCAAGGAGATGGACTACATGGATTAACAGTAACAACGGCTGTTAAATAAATTGATTAGTAGTAATCATGTGCGCCGTTATTCTGGATTAAATCTTACGTTCTTGTCTCCTACAGGCAACAAACGCGTCACCCGAAAAGTTTTCTAGGCATGTGCAGGAAGGAATATGATTTACTACCGTACATTCTGCGTTGGCTCCGCAAAGTCCAATACAAGGATTTACGCATTTGTTTCTTACGCATGCCTTGTCCGTTGTGCAATCTGAATTCAGAACACACTCAGGTCTGCAATTTCTGTAGGGATCTCCGAAATATTCCGCAATACAAGTACATTTTCCATTGTTACATTCAGCGTTTGTACCACAAGGATTTGGTACGCAAGGATTTTGAGGTTGAATAGGCCCTAAAAGTAAAAAAGATGTCGCGAATAAACCTTTTTGATTTATCCGGAGTTAAACGTACGTGGAGCTTGTTCGATTATTGGGTTGCAACTTATAAACGGATTTCCAGAATATTTGTTTCGACATGTACAAGAGGGTATGTGATTGTTTACTTCGCATAAGGCATTAAAACCACAAGATCCTGGGCAGGGATCTTTGCATCTTTCGTTTATACATGCTTGGCTACTCGAACATTCTGAATTAATTGTACATTCTGGTCGACAGTTAGGTGGACTTCCTATATAATTAGGCAAACATGTGCAGGCCGGTACATTCCCGAACGACGAGCATTGCGAATTAGGTCCACAAGGTGAAGGAACACAAGGATTTATTGTTTCCGATTGGGGTACAAGTGCCACTGCTAAAATTTTAAACAATTTTAAATACATCAGTTACATTTAAACGTTTGAAATAGTTACAAGGGGTAGTAAAGCAATTTGAGAAAGGATCTCCTGTCTGCCCGGTCTCACAACTACATATTGGACTGTGATTGATAACTTCACACCTAGCGTTTCTTCCACAAACACCAGGGCACGGATCTACACATTTTTGATTGATGCATGCCCTGTTTGAGGGACATTCTGTACTAATCGTGCATTCTGGTCGACAGCCTGGTGGATTTCCGATATATTTTGGTAAACATGAGCAAATTGATTGACCATTTGACGTTTTACATTGACTATTAGGACCACAAGGATTAGGATTGCAAGGATTTATTTCAATAGGTGTGCCTGAAATAGATAACAATAACAATAACAATAACATTTACCGGGGTGTGTATTTTTTTGTTTTAATAGTGAGGGTTTCTACTACATACTTTTTGGTGGAATTGTAGAACAGTAGTTGAACGGATCTCCAGTAAATCCTGGATAACATGTACAAGCAGGCACATGGTTGATTACTTGACATTGGGCGTTCTGACCGCAAGTACCAGGACATGGGTTTTGGCACTTGTTTCTTATGCACGCGAGGTTTGAAGCGCAATCAGAATTGAGGACACATTCGGGTCGACATCCTTCGTAAGGATTTCCGATATAATCGGGTAAACAAGTACAGGAACCGATATTATTTTGTTGTCTGCACATAGCATTTGCTCCACATGGACTTGGGTTGCAAGGATTAATTATTTCCACAGGTTGTACAACTGCAGTTGAATGAACGAATAAGGTATTGTTGATATAGTAATTACTAATGGGGATATTACCTTCAGTTCTAAGGCAATTAACGAACGGATCACCGCTGTAACCGTCAATGCAAGCGCAGTTAGGTGTGTGACTGACAACACGACACTCTGCGTTTATTCCACAACTTCCTGGACAAGGATCTTTACATTTTTGATTTATGCAAGCTAAGTTGTTCGAACATTCACTATTACTAACGCATTCCGGTCTACATCCCGGAGGAGATCCAATAAAATTGGCTAAACAAGAACAGGAAGGTGAATCGTTGATTACTTTACACTCTGAATTCGGTCCGCATGGCGTTGGTTGACATGGATTTGAGACTGATACAGCCACAACCGGCTTTTCTATATAAAAATGAAATATATTTGTTTGTGTATGAAAACGTTTTTTTAAACAGTCGTACCAATTGGTTGGCATCGAGTAAATGGATCTCCAGAAAGTCCCGCAGGGCAGCTGCATATTGGGTTGTGATTAACGACTTGACACAGTGCAGAGATACCACAAGTTCCTGGACATGGATTTATACATTTTTGGTTAACGCATGCTAATTGAAGAGAACATTCGGAACTTAATATACACTCAGGCCTACAGTTTGGTGGACTACCAATAAAACCAGATAGGCATGAGCATACGGCTTGATTGTTTACTTCTCTACATTGACTGTTTGGACCACAGGGAGATGGACTACACAGATTAACTCTAGCAGGCTCTGTAAATTCACATCGTGTTCATTTTTACTATTATTTCTTTTTAATGAGTATGCAAATACCTCTTCTGGGATTACATGCAATAAAAGCATTGCCAGTGAAGCCTTGGAGACAAGAGCAGGATGGAATATGATTTATAACTGTACACTCTGCGTTTTGACCACAAACACCCGAACATGGATTCACACATTTATTTCGGACACAAGCTTTATCTTTTGAACAGTCGTCATTGAGGACGCATTCAGGTCTACAACTTCTGTAGGGGTCTCCTTGATACTCAGGAAGACATGTACAAATTCCATTGTTGCACTGAGCATTTGTTCCACACGGATTTGGTTGACAAGGATTTTTAGATTCAATTGCTAAAAAATTACATTGGTAGTTTTGTATGATCTTGCTAGACTCGGCATTAGTATCTTTACCTATTTGAGGAATTGGTTTGCAATTCTCAAAAGAGTTTCCTGTGAGACCTTCAGGACAAGTGCATGTTGGAATATGGTTTATAACATTACACACCGCAGATATTCCACAGGAACCGGGGCAAGGATCTTTACATTTTTCATTTATACAAGCTCTGCTACTTGGACAATCTGAATTTATTGTACATTCCGGCCTACAACTGGGTGGACTTCCGAAATATCCGCTTGCACAGGTGCATGATGGCATGTCGTTAATTTCTTGACATATAGAATTAGGACCACAAGGCGATGGTACACAAGGATTCACTTTTGTAATTATTGCTACTGGAGGTTCTATAAAGGAACAGTATTAGTTTACAATAATGGAAGGGAGATACCAATATGATACCTTGAATTTGAATACATCTAACGAATGGATCGCCTGTGAATTTGTTGTCGCAAGAACAAATAGGACTGTGATTGATCACTTGACATTTGGCATTAATTCCGCAAGTTCCTGGGCATGGATCAATACATTTTTGATTAACACATGCCTTGTCCAAGGAACATTCTGAACTGACTGTACACTCAGGTCTACAGTTTGGTGGATTACCGATAAATGTGGACAGACATGAACATACTGCTTGTTGATTCACTTCTTTACACTGACTGTTTGGACCACACGGAGATGGAGTACAAGGGTTAGTGGGCGGTTGTATTGCTGTTAATTAAAATAAATTAAATTTTATTTATGCTTATTGTTATGGCTTTTTAAAGGTTATTCTTACGTTCTGAAAGTATTTCACAATACTGGAAGGGATTTCCGGTGAATCCTGCATTGCAACTACATGTTGGTAAATGGTTTATTACTTGACAATTTGCGTTTTGTCCGCATGTACCAGGACATGGATCTTGACATTTGTTGCGAATGCAAGCGAAATTAGATGGACAATCCGAATTTAAAGTACATTCCGGCCTACAACTTTCATAAGGATTTCCTAAGTAACCTTCTACGCACGTGCAGGAACCGACGCCGTTTCTTTCTTTACACAGAGCGTTAGAACCACAAGGAGAAGGTGTGCATGGTGTTTTTAATTCACCGGTTGAAGGAATTACAACTAAAATTTTTAATTTTAATTATTTTTATCGTAAAATAAATGTACTTTTTAACGTAATTACCTGTAAATGGATTACAAAGACTGAACGGGTCTCCAGAATAACCGGATATGCAAGCACAGTTGGGGGTGTGACTGACGACGCGGCATTCGGCATTTATACCACACATACCAGGACAGGGGTCCTTACATTTATTGTTTATGCAAGCCAAATTGTTGCTACATTCGCTGTTGCTTACGCATTCGGGTCTACAGTTTGGCGGCGTACCTATGAAGTCTGACAGACAAGAACAAGACGGAGATTCGCCCGTTACCCTACATTGAGAATTTGGACCACAAGGTGAAGGTTGACATGGGTTTAATGGCTTCAAGGGTTCTGTTACTTCTAAAAAATAAGTTTCTGTAGAATCGTATCCAGGTTTACTTATGACATTTTCTAACGCACCTATGATTCGACACTGCGTGAAGGGATCACCGGTGTATTGAGATGGGCAGCTACATATTGGATTGTGGTTAATAACTTGGCATAGTGCGCTAATACCACATGTACCAGGACATGGGTCAATGCATTTCTGGTTGACACAAGCTTGGTTTAGTGAACATTCGGAACTAATAACGCATTCTGGTCTGCATGTTGGTGGTGATCCAATGAAACCAGGAACGCAGGAACAGACCGCTTGATTATTTATGTTCCTACATTGACTGTTAGGACCACAGGGTGTTGGTGAGCAAGGATTAGTTTCGATTTTTGCTGAAAACAGAACCATGGAGTTGTAGTGTTCGTCTTCTTGGTTGTATGGGTTTAAACTTACTTGAAATTTCAGAGCATAGTACGAATGCGTTTCCTATAAAACCCGTTAGACAGGAACAACTGGGTATGTGGTTAATAACGGTACACTGGGCATTTTGTCCGCACATTCCTGGACAGGGATCTACGCATTTATTTCTGACACAAGATCTATCTTTGGCACAGTCGGCATTTAAAATACACTCTGGTCGGCATCCTACGTATGGATCGCCACGGTATTCGGATATGCAATTACAGATACCATCGTTACAAATTGAATTTGGCCCGCAAGGGGACGGATTACAACGATCTTTTTGAGTGGCTTCAGGTACTGAAAGAAATGCGTTGAAATGATAAAATAAAATAAGAGTTGTTTTTTATTTTACATGGAGCGGGTTGTAGGTAACAGTTACTAAATGGATCGCCTGTGTACTGTGAAGGACATGTACATATGGCTACGTGATTGATAGCCTCACATATCGCTGATGTTCCACAAGCCCCTATACAAGGATCGGCACATTTTTCACGAATACATGCTTTGTTAGCGGGACATTCCGAGTTGATAGTACATTCTGGTCGACAATTAGGTGGACTTCCTACATAGTTTTCTAGACATATACAAGATGGTATGCCGCCAATTTCGCGACATTGTGAATTAGGTCCACATGGCGATGGAACGCAGGGATTTGTTGGTACGATTTGTACTATTTCAGTTGCTAAAAGAATATAATTGGTATAATTATAAAGTAAAGGGAACAGAACAAGTTTCCTACCAGGAATTTTGGTGCAGCTAGTGAATGGATCTCCAGTAAATCCATCATTACAGCTGCATATAGGGCTGTGATTTATAACTTTACATTTGGCGTTGATTCCACAAGTTCCGGGGCAAGGGTCGACACATTTTTGATTTACACAAGCCAAATTATTTGAGCATTCTGAGCTTAAAACACATTCTGGTCTACAGTTTGGTGGAGATCCTGAGTATTCCGGTAAGCATGAACAAACTGCTTGATCGTTTACAGTTCTACATTGACTGTTAGGCCCGCACGGCGAGGGGTTGCAAGGGTCTGTAGGAATTGGAATTTCTAAAAAAGTTTATATTATATTAGATTTGCATCGTTCAGAATTTATCCGAGTTATTACTTTCTGGAGGCATCACGAGACATATTTGATACGGATTTCCTGAGTATCCAAATCCACAAGTGCAAGAGGGCAAATGATTAATAACTTTGCACTCAGCGTTTTGTCCACAAGTTCCCGGACATGGGTCCTGACATTTGCTATTGATACAAGCAAGATTTGATGAACAGTCAGAATTTAAAATACATTCCGGCCTGCACCCTTCGTACGGATTTCCGATATAATCTGTCAGGCATGTACAAGAACCGACACCATTTCGATCTTTACATACTGTATTTGGCCCACAAGGCGAAGGTACACAAGGAGTAGGTTTCTCTTTTATAACCGCGACTTGCTTTAAGACGCACTGGATGAAAGGATCGCCTTCGAATTCAGGCAGACAAAGACAGTTTGGCGTGTGACTTATGACGTGACACTGAGCGTTGATGCCACACGATCCAGGACATGGATCTTTACATTTATTATTGATACATGCTTGACTCGTTGGGCATTCGCTGTTACTTATACATTCTGGACGGCAGCTTGGAGGCGAACCTATGTAATCGGGTAAACAAGAGCAAGAAGGCGATTCACCGACTTCTCTACATCGAGAGTATGGTCCACATGGGGACGGTGTACAGGGTCGTATTGGTTGAACAATCTTTTCTGGTTCACCTAAACATATTAATGGGATTATATTGTGCATACTTAATCATGGCACAAATTTTCTTACGAATAATATCGCATCGTGTAAATGGATTTCCGGTATATTTTGTGGGGCAACTACATATTGGATTGTGGTTTACAACTTGACATAGGGCATCAATTCCGCATGTGCCGGGGCAGGGGTCGACACATTTTTGATTGATGCAAGCTCTATTTTGAGAACATTCCGAACTAACGATACATTCAGGTCTGCAAGCCGGTGGGTTTCCAATGAAGTTTGGTACGCAAGAACAAACGGCCACATTGTTTACAACTCTACATTGGCTATTCGGACCGCAGGGTGATGGTTCGCACGGATTGGTTTCTATAACGTCTGCAGAAATATTGTTGTGAATTATATTTTGTTCTACAATTGTTTATCTGATTGCTTACTTTGTACAGGAGAACATAAAATGAAAGCGTTTCCAGTAAATCCTTCGTCACAGAAACATGTAGGTATATGATTGATTACTGAGCATTTAGCGTTTTGGCCGCACGTACCAGGACAAGGATCGACACACTTATTTTTAAGACATACGTTGTTTTGAGGACATTCACTATTTAGTACACATTCGGGTCTACATCCTCTATACGGGTCCCCTTGATAATTTGGAATACATGTGCAAATGCCACTGTCGCATTCTGCATTTGGTCCGCATGGCGATGGTTTGCACGGGTTTATTTCGACAGTGTCCTCTACTTCTATATAATAGAAATATCGATAACAAATTTAGCTTTTCCATTGATTGATATTAACTTACCGTTCACGATAACGGTACATTGTGTAAATGGATTACCGGTATATCCTTCGATACAGGAACATATTGGAATATGGTTGATAACGTTACATTTAGCCAAAATGCCGCAAGATCCTGGACAAGGATCTTCGCATCGTTCTCTAATACATGCTTGATTGCTGGGACATTCTGAATTACTTGAACATTCTGGTCTACAATTTGGGGGAGTGCCTATGTAATTGGGTAAACAGGAGCAAGAAGGAATGCCACCAATATCTTGACATTGAGAAAAAGGTCCACATGGTGTTGGAAGACAGCCGTCTCTTATTGTCGGCGTTACTTCTGCAGGAGGGGGACCTACAAGTGACATTGCAGGTAAAATTGGATTTTAAAGCATACTCAGTAAAACTCTTACGTGATTCAACACATCGAATAAACGGATCGCCGGTATAACCTGGAAGACAGCTACAGATTGGACTGTGATTAATAACATTGCAATTTGTGTTTATGCCGCACGTTCCTGGACATGGGTCTGTACATTTTTGATTTACACAAGCTCGGTCTCGATTACATTCTGAACTAACAACACATTCAGGCCTGCATCCTGGAGGACTTCCTGTATAAGTCGGTAAACAAGAGCATACCGCCTGACCGTTACTTTCACGACATTGACTGTTTGGTCCACAAGGAGATGGATTGCAGGGCTCAGGCTTTTCAATGGGAGCAGCTAAATTTTATTTTTATCAGTTGTTTTTGTTGATCTATATATGTACATTCCATACTATACTTACATTCAGGAATAATGTAGCAGTTAGTAAATGGATCTCCAGTGAAACCAACGGTACATGTGCATGAAGGTAAATGGTTGATAACTTGACAATTTGCGTTTGATCCACATGTTCCTGGACATGGATCTTGACATTTGCTATTTATACAGGCCCTGTTAGCTGGACAGTCAGAGTTTAGGATACATTCGGGACGACAACCTTCGTAAGGATTGCCAATGTAATCGTTTTGACAAATGCATGCACCAACGCCATTTTTCTCTCTGCATAAAGCGTTAGCACCGCATGGAGAGGGCACACATGGTGTAAGACGTTCTTGTATGACAGGTTGTACTATGGAATATGTATCAATTAAATCAAGTCTACTTATTATATAAGTGAATCATACTTTGTTGACGACATTCCAAAAATGGATCTCCTGTGAATGACGACGGACATAAGCATACGGCCATGTGGTTTGTTACTCTGCATTCCGCATTTAATCCGCATAAACCTTGACAGGGATTTACACATTTTTTGTTTATGCACGCTAAGTGGGATTGACATTCCGAATTACTAACACATTCAGGTTTGCAGTTAGGTGGTATGCCTATGTAATCGGGGAGACACGAACACGATGGAGACTCTCCTGTTATTCTACATTGCGAATTAGGACCGCATGGAGAAGGTTCACAAGGATTTGTTGGTTTTTCGACTTGCGCTTGAATGACAATTAGGAGATTAGTTTCATAAAATAATCGATGTAGTTGTTATAAACTCACCAACTATTGGTGAACATCGGGTAAACGGATCTCCAGAGAACGAAGGAGCACAACTACAAATTGGATTGTGATTAACTACTTGACATAACGCGTTTAGGCCGCATGTTCCGGGACAAGGATCTGTACATTTTTGGTTCACACATGCACGATCAAGTGAGCATTCTGAACTGACGATACATTCCGGCCTGCAAGTTGGGGGACTTCCTATGTATCCAACGACACACGAACATACGGCTTGATTATTTATTTCCCTACATTGACTGTTGGGACCGCAAGGACTTGGGCTACATGGGTTTCTCATTTCGGGTTCTGCAATGACGCGTTTTAAGAAGCGCAACGGTTAAGTATTTTTCGTGTTAGCTTACCTCTAATACGATTGCAAATTAAAAACGCATTGCCTGTGAATCCTTCTATACAAGAACACATTGGTATGTGATTAACTACCGAACATTCAGCATTCTCCCCACAAGTGTTGATACACGGGTTAACGCATTTATTTCGAACGCATGCTTGAATTTTTGAGCAATCGCTGTTCAACACGCATTCTGGTCTACAACCACGATAAGGATCTCCCTGATATTCAGACAGGCATGTGCAAATGCCGTCATTGCATTGTGCATTTGGTCCGCAAGGAGAAGGATTGCAACGATCTTCTACGATAGGTTCTTCTAAAAGACAAAGAAAATGTATGTTTTGATCCTAATGGTCGTTAATCAATTCACGCTGTTGTCCTTACGTGGAATGGGTTGGGGATAACAGTTGTTGAACGGGTCTCCGGTATAACCGTCAAAACAGGAACAAGTCGGGACATGATTGATTACTGCACACTTGGCGTTAATACCACAGGAGCCAGGACAAGGATCCTGACATCTTTCTCTTATACAGGCTTTGTCGCTTGTGCAGTCAGAATTGATGGTACATTCAGGGCGACAATTCGGCGGACTTCCTATGTAATTTTGTAGGCAGGTACAGGAAGGAATGTTATTTATTTCACGACATTCTGAATTTGGACCACAGGGAGAAGGTACGCATGGATTAGACGGTCTAATTTCAGTAACTGTTTGAACTGAAATTATAAGAAAGCGTAAATAGTCAAGAAAACATGTACGGTGCAAACGAAGCTTACTAGGGATCGGTGAGCAAATTGTGAAGGGATCTCCACTATAACTTTCTTTACAACTACAGATGGGACTGTGGTTTACTACGTTACATCTTGTGTTTATTCCACATACGCCGGGACATGGATCAACGCACTGTTGATTTACACATGCTTTGTTTTGTTGACATTCAGAACTCACTACACACTCTGGTCTACAACCAGGAGGATTTCCCAGGTAGGATGGCAAACACGAACAAACTGCCTGCCCGTTACTTTCACGACATTGGCTATTAGGTCCGCAGGGCGAAGGACTACAAGGGTTCGACTTTTCTGTTGGTTCAGCTAAAACGGAATTGAGATTGTACTTATTTTCAATGAATGTAATTTTATTGTAATGGTTACTTTTTGGTAGTATATTACAAAACGTAAATGGATCTCCCGTGTAACCAGAAACACAAGTACAAGATGGTAAATGGTTAACCACTTGACAATTGGCGTTTTGACCGCAGGTTCCAGGGCAAGGGTCTTGACATCTGTTATTTATGCATGCTCTATTTGAAGGACAATCGGAATTCAAAACACATTCTGGCCGACATCCTTCATATGGGTTTCCTAGGTAATTCTCCAGACATATGCACGCTCCTGCTCCGTTTTGTTCTCTACAAAGTGCATTCGACCCGCATGGGGATGGTACGCATGGTGTGAGGCGTTCTTCTACTACTGGTTGTACTATAAGATAAATCATTAACGAATGTCAAAACCTACTAATTGATCTTTATTACTTTCTTGGTAACAGTTTACGAACGGGTCACCTGTAAACGATACAGGACACACACAAACTGGAGTATGACTAACAACTTTGCATTCCGCATTTGCTCCGCATATTCCTGTACAAGGGTTGCTGCATTTGTTATTTATACATGCCAAGTTTTGTGCGCATTCTGGATTGCTAACACACTCAGGTCTACAGTTTGGTGGAGTACCGCTGAATTCTGGTAAACATGAACAAGAAGGCGAATCTCCAGAGACCCTACACTGTGAATTAGGGCCGCATGGGGATGGCTGGCAAGGATTCACAGGTTCTCGAGGTTTTTCTAAAAAGAATCGGGTGTCATTGTGTAATTTAGTTATTTGTAGTGAAGAATAATTAGTTACCTATAAAAAGACAACGTGTAAACGGATCTCCGGAAAAGCTTTCAGGACAGCTGCATATTGGATTATGATTAACAACTTGGCATAAAGCATTAATTCCACATGTTCCTGGACATGGATCTACACATTTCTGATTCACACATGCCCGTTCGAGTGAACATTCTGAACTGATGGCACACTCTGGTCTACATAAAGGGGGCGATCCCAAATAACCAATCACACAAGAACATACAGCTTGATTATTTACTTCCCTACATTGACTGTTTGGCCCGCAAGGCGATGGATTACAGGGGTGTGTGTTCACCGGTTCTACAAATTCATTGTTAGAAATTGCATGACTGTTACATTTATTGGATAGAGTACCTCTGACGGGAGAACAAAGAATGAATGCATTTCCTGAAAATCTCGCAGGACATGAACATATGGGAATGTGATTAACAACGGAACATTCGGCGTTTTGTCCGCAAGTGTTTTGACACGGATTTATACACTTGTTACGAATGCATGCTTTATCTTTCGGGCAGTCATTGTTTAGAACACATTCGGGTCTACAACCTCGGTAAGGATCTCCCTGATATTCGGCTAGACAGGTACAAATGCCATTGTTACATTCAGTGTTGGGTCCACACGGGGAAGGATTGCAACGATCCATAACGACAGGTGTCACTTAAAACATCAAAGGGTTTTATAATATAGATTTTTTATGAATGTAATAGGAATAACTTACGTGGTTCGGGTTGAACGTAGCAGTTACTAAATGGATCACCGGTGTATCCTTCGAAACAACTGCAAATTGGTATATGATTTGTAACAGAGCACCTAGCATTAACACCACAAGAGCCCGGACAAGGATCTCTACATTTTTCCTTAATGCAAGCCTTATCACTCGTGCAGTCTGAATTGATTGTACATTCAGGACGGCAATTTGGCGGGCTTCCGATATAATTTTCCAAACATGTGCAAGAAGGTATACCGTTCAATTCGCGACATTGAGAGTTGGATCCACAAGGAGAAGGGACACATAAATTAACAGCGGGACGAGTTACAGCAACAGGTGCAGCTAGAATATGTGAAAACGCTTGTGTTACATGCAATTAAATGCGATCTTTTATAAGATGTTTATGTTACCAGGAATTGGTGAACATCTTGTAAACGGGTCGCCACTAAAACCTGGTGTGCAACTGCAAATTGGACTATGATTGACAACTTCGCATCTTGTGTTCAAGCCACAGACACCAGGGCAAGGATCGACGCATTTCTGATTTACACATGCTCTGTTCATAGGACATTCCGAACTTACGACACATTCTGGTCTACAATTGGGTGGACTGCCTAAATAAGTCGGAAGACAGGAGCACACGGATTGACCGTTGATTTCACGACATTGGCTGTTCGGGCCGCAAGGCGAAGGAGTGCAAGGTTGAACTTTCTCGGTTGGTATAACTAAAAATAAAACCAATCGGTAGGGACAGTCGAGGAAGAAAATAAAGAAAATTTTACCTTCAGGTATTACATTGCAGAATGTGAATGGATCACCGGTGTAGCCGGAAATACACAAGCAAGTTGGCAAATGGTTAACTACTTGACAGTTAGCGTTTTGGCCGCATGTACCAGGACACGGGTCTTGACATTTATTGTTAATACACGCTTTATTGGGTGCACAATCAGAATTCAGTACGCACTCTGGACGACATCCTTCGTAAGGATTTCCAAAATAGCCTTCTTGACATGTGCATGCTCCTGCACCGTTTTGTTCTCTGCAGATAGCGTTCAGACCGCAAGGGGATGGTATACATGGAGTCAGACGCTCTTTAATAGCAGGTTGGACTAAAAAAATTTAATAATTGTATACGTTCCATTTCTATACAAAATTTTAATTTGTTCATACTTTCTTGTCGACATTCTGAAAACGGATTTCCGGTGAATGATACGGGACATATACAGACCGGTATATGATTCGTTACGCGACATTCAGCGTTTACTCCACACAGTCCTTCGCATGGATTCTTACACTTGTTATTTATGCATGCCATGTTGGACTGACATTCAGAATTACTAACACATTCAGGTCTACAATTTGGTGGAACTCCAATGTATTCGGGAATACACGAACAGGATGGTGAATCTCCAATTACTCTACATTGAGAATTAGGACCACATGGACTTGGTTCGCATAAATTAACGGGCTCTGCCGGAATTTCTAAAACGCACTCGTAATGTAAACAGCTTCGTGCTTCTATGCAAGAAGTTTTACTTACCTATTTTCAAACAGCGGGTGAAAGGATCACCTGAAAAGTCTGGTCTACAACTACAGATAGGATTGTGATTGACAACTTGGCAAATGGCATCGATGCCACAGGTGCCAGGACATGGATCGATGCATTTTTGATTTACACAAGCACGGTTTAGAGAACATTCGGAACTGACAACACATTCTGGTCTACACGTAGGCGGACTTCCCAGATAACCAGCAAGACAAGAGCAAACCGCTTGACCGTTAATTTCTCGACATTGGCTGTTTGGACCGCAAGGACTTGGATTACAAGGATTTACTTTCACCGGTTCTGTGAAACAAATATATGTGAACGACAACGTGTCGATTAGAAAGTATTTTGTATTTGGATTTCTACCTTTGACTTCATTGCAAATTAAAAATGCGTTCCCAGTGAATCCTGCTGGACAAGAACATATTGGGATGTGGTTGATCACAACGCATTCCGCTCTTTCGCCGCAAGTGTTTTCACAAGGTTGTATGCATTTATTTCTCACGCAAGCTCTGTCTTTTGCACAGTCGGTATTTAAAACACATTCTGGTCTACAACCACGATAAGGATCGCCTTGATAATCAGGCAAACATGTGCATATTCCATCATTGCAATTAGCATTCGAACCGCAAGGGGATGGATTGCAACGATCTTGAACGATTGGTATTTCTAAAATATTGGTACATGAATTAGGTATTTGATTTTCTTTCTGTGTAGTGAAATAACTTACGTGGGACAGGCTTAGGATAGCAATTGTTAAATGGATCACCAGTATATCCTTCAAAGCATGTACATATAGGGATATGATTAGCCACGTTGCAAATTGCATTAATGCCGCAAGATCCCGGACAAGGGTCTCGACATTTTTCTCTAATACATGCTTTATCGCTTATGCAATCGGAATTTATAGTACATTCAGGCCTGCAATTTGGTGGACTGCCTACGTAATTTTCTAAACACGAACAAGAAGGAATGCCGTTTATCTCACGGCATTGAGAATTTGGCCCACAAGGAGAAGGTATGCACGGATTAACATTAACTGGTTCCTTAGGGGTTATAACTTCTGTAAAAGATTTATACGAATTTATTTAGGTCCATGATATTTTTTGGTCTTGTTTCTCACCAATCTCAGGAACGCAAATGGTGAATGGGTCACCTGAGAATTTCTCTTTACAGCTGCATATTGGACTGTGATTTATTACATCGCATCTCGTATTAATTCCACAGACTCCTGGACAAGGATCGACACATTTTTGATTGACGCAAGCCCTGTTTTGGGCACATTCAGAGCTAACAACGCATTCCGGTCTACATTCAGGTGGACTGCCTAAATACGTTGGGAGGCATGAACAAACAGCTTGCCCATTACTTTCGCGACATTGGCTGTTGGGTCCACACGGAGAAGGATTACATGGATTCACTTTTTCTATCGGTTTGGCTGCAAGGGTTAATTTTTAATGACGGCACGTTTAAAAAAGTGACTAATTGTTATTATTACTTTCAGTCATGATGCTGCAGTATGTGAATGGGTCTCCAGTGTATCCCACAATACACGTGCAAGAAGGTAAATGATTTACCACTTGACAGTTTGCGTTTTGTCCGCATGTTCCCGGACATGGGTTTTGACATTTGCTATTTACGCAAGCTTTATCAGAAGAACAGTCCGAATTCAAAATACATTCTGGTCGACATCCTTCATAGGGATTTCCAATGTATCCTTCTTGGCATATGCAGGCACCCGCGTTATTCTGTTCTCTACAAATGGCATTAGGGCCACATGGTGACGGTATACATGGTGTAACTGCTTCTTTAATAACCGCTTGAACTAGAATAATTATAAATTTATTAGGTGGAATTGATCTTAAAGGAAATACACTTTTGTATTTACTTTCTTGGCGACATTCCACGAATGGATCTCCTGTAAATGAAACTGGACAGAGGCAAACAGGTGTGTGACTTGTAACCCGACATTCTGCATTAATGCCACAAATTCCAGCACATGGGTTTCTACATTTATTGTTTATGCAAGCCATGTTTGATGGGCATTCTGTGTTGCTCACACATTCTGGTCTACAATTTGGTGGAATGCCGATGAATTCGGGTAAACATGAACAAGACGGAGATTCCCCTGAAACTCGGCATTCCGAGTGAGGACCACACGGAGAAGGTTGGCATGGATTAGTAGGAGTAATTTTCTCTTCTAAAAAAATTTTTTTTTGAGTATCTATTAAAGATAAATATGATCTTTGACATACCAACAATAAGACAACGTGTGAAAGGATCTCCCGAAAATTTAGGGGGACAACTACAAATGGGATTGTGATTTACAACTTGACAAATTGCGCTAACGCCGCAGGTTCCAGGACATGGATCGATACATTTTTGATTGACACATGCTCTATCTAATGAACATTCTGAACTGCCTGCACATTCTGGCCTGCAATTTGGTGGGGATCCTAAATAACTGGGCACACATGAGCATACCGCTTGACCGTTTATTTCTTTGCACTGACTGTTTGGACCACACGGTGATGGGTTACATGGGTGTGTTTCAATTTGCTCTAGAAGTTTTGGTTGTGTTCTTAATGTTATTCAAAAATAATACGAAACTTGAATACCTTTAACACGATTACATATTAAAAATGCATTTCCTGAAAATCCTTTAGGACAAGAACAGCTGGGAATGTGGTTGTTAACTGTACATTCTGCATTTTCTCCGCAAGTATTTTGACACGGGTTTATACATTTGTTCCGAATGCACGCTCTGTCCTTGGAACAGTCGCTGTTAAGGACACACTCAGGTCTACAACCTCTGTATGGATCACCTTGGTATTCAGGTAGACACGTGCAAATACCGTTATTGCATTGCGTATTAGGTCCGCAAGGAGACGGATTACAAGGGTCTTTGGGTATTTCTTCTTCTAAAAGTTATTACATTATAACCATATTTTGCATTTAATGGTCTTTTTACACTTACGCTTTTCGGGTTCAGGCGAGCAAACACTGAAGGGATCCCCAATATACCTTGCGAAACAGGTACAAATAGGAATATGGTTGTTGACGTTACATTGGGCGTTTATACCGCAAGAACCTGGACAAGGATCTCTACATTTTTCGTTGATGCAAGCCTTATCGCTTGTGCAGTCTGAATTGATTGTACATTCAGGACGACAGTTCGGAGGGCTTCCCTGATATGTTTCCAAACAAGAGCAAGAAGGAATTCCATTTCTGTTGCGACATTGTGAGTTAGGACCACAAGGGGAAGGTATACATGGGTCTACTACAACTTGCGGTATTGAAACTTGGGCTGGTGCTGCAATATGGCATGATGTTATATAAAACGTCGTATAATAACGGATATTTATGTGAATGTCTTACGTGGTATTGGGGAGCAAACGACAAATGGATCTCCAGTAAAACCAGATCGACAACTACATATGGGACTGTGATTAATAACGTCACATCTTGTGTTCAGGCCACAAACTCCTGGACAAGGGTCAACGCATTTTTGATTTACGCATGCTCTATTTTGTGGACATTCAGAGCTGACAGTACATTCTGGTCTACAGTTTGGAGGGCTACCTAAATAATTTAGCAAGCAAGAGCAAACGGCTTGCTTGTTAACTTCCTTACACTGACTATTTAGACCACAAGGGGACGGATTGCAAGGGTTGCTTGGTTGTTCGGTAACTAAAATGGATAATGATATCGTATATAAATAATAATTAACGAAGAATAAATGCAACACTTACTTTCTGCTGATATGACGCTACAAAACTGGAACGGATCACCTGTAAAACCAATCTTGCAGACACAAGTTGGTAGGTGGTTCACTACTTGACAATCTGCGTTTTGTCCGCAAGTTCCAGGACAAGGATTTTGACATTTATTTCGTATACATGCTAAATGGGAAGGACAGTCAGAATTTAGGACGCACTCAGGCCTGCAGCCTTCGTAAGGGTTTCCAATATAATCGGGTAAACAAGAGCAAGAACCTGCATTGTTTTGTTCTTTACATACGGCATTTTGGCCGCATGGTGATGGGTCACACGGTCTCGATTCGATTTGTAAAGGTAAACCTGCAATTCAATTTAATTTGATGGGATATCTATCGTTTACTACTAATTTGGCACCAGCGTCTATCAAGCAGTAGGTCAAAGATAAAATTATTGATTATTTGAAGAAGCATTCAGCCGCACAGGACGTGAGGTGGTAAAACTTATCAAAGAGAGGAAAAGTAACAGGTTTTTGTACCATGAGGTCATTCAATTATCATTTTACCACCACAGTTGGGAGCGCCTTTTCGTTTTTTGCATTAGGCATAGGGTCTTATTATGAAAGCGCGCTTTTGCGGGGGGATATAAGGGTTTTTTAATGCGTTGTTTTAATTTATAGAAGCAATAGGGGTGAATATTCGGCGTATTATTATTACTCGTTTTCCAATGTAAGCATTTCTTGGCGAGGCTTAAACTAAATGCGCATTTTTTAAGCTTTCCGCAAATCCTTAAAGCTAATTTGTTACGTATAGTTTAATAGCAATACACTTACCTTACTAATGCGTCCACTGTTAGAAGCAAGCATAAGTTCTCGTTTATTAAGCATAACATTATATAAAACTTTCGTAATTCAATTGTTATAGATATTAAGCATGATTTGTTGCAGCCTTGAAGAAGACGGAATTTTATTGATTTTCTCTTTGTTGTCGTTATTGCATACATATTTTATATCGCAAAATTTATTACAATGAAAAAAGAAATATATACTTTTTTTGAATTTAGTTTAAATATTATTCGATGACAGTTGTATGAAATCAATTTATTTAATATTAATGTCAAAATTCATTTAATTTTTATTCACTACAAATTACCTCTAATTAACAAAGAAAAATTGTTGCTGCTCTCATACCCTCGCCGGGAATCGAACCCGGTATTTTTGGCTTTACGCTTTAACCACTAAGCTACGAGAGGTGACAACAGCAATAGTTATTAGGTCACAGAATCATCGAACTAATGTATATATATATATTAATATCATATGAAATACTTTATTAATCGCTATTAAATTCAAATTTTTTTTACTTTACTTTACTTTGGACACATTTGAATTATCTGCAATTTTAGTTTGAACCGTCTATGATTTGATTAACTGCTATTCAAATTTTCGTATTCTCGTCTTCTTTTTTGTCACCGAAAAATGTTTAATAATTAATGATTAATTAAGAAAACTGTTATTATAGCTGCGAGACTATTTTCGGCAAAAAAGCTGCAAAGATTAAAAGTAGCAAACAATGACTTACCTTGCACAGGAACGCAGCTGCTGAATGGATCTCCGGTGAATCCTACATTACAGGAGCATACTGTGTTGTGATTGATTACAGCGCATAACGCGTTTGAACCGCACGCTCCCGGACACGGATCGCGACACTTTTGATTTATACACGCTAAATTCGATCGGCATTCGGAATTTATTGTGCACTCCGGACGACAGCTAGGCGGCAAACCGACATAACTTTGTAAACACGAACATGCCGGACTACCGTTAGACACCCGACATACCGAATTCGGACCGCACGGCGACGGTTCGCACGGATTGATAGGCTCCGGAGTTCGTTCCTCTGTAAAAATTCAAAATTATCTTGCTGATCCAGGCAATAATAAAACACAAAGCAGATATTAATAAGGTACATACCCTGAACCGGATAGCACCTGACGAATGGATCGCCTGTTAAGCCAGCGTTACAGCTGCATATAGGGTTGTGATTAATTGTTTGACATTGGGCTGAAATTCCGCAAGTTCCTGGACAAGGATCCACGCACTTGTTATTAAGACAAGCTTGGGTGAGCGGACATTCTGCGCTAACGACGCATTCTGGTCGGCAGTTGGGAGGACCTCCTATGAATCCTAGTTGGCAGGAACAAACGGCCACGTCGTTATTCACTTTACACAAACTGTTGGGTCCGCACGGCGAAGGGTTACATGGTTGTACTTTTGTAACTAAAGCAGAGAATAAAATAATTCGAAGTGGTCTGTATTCTGTCGAAACTGCCAGACGCGGATCGCGATTTCGATCTTTTTGGATCTCATCAGCGCGTCGCAGGCAGCCCCGACAGAACACAGACCAACCTTTATCTGCTGTCTTAACAGCGCGTTTTAGAAAATACCACAAATGACGCGGTAAACGCCATCTGTAGTACGATGCTAAATAATATATTTTATTCGATTATGATAACGTGCCTATCACGTTGAGGTTAGCTACGGCGGATTTCGTTTCAGCAAGTAGATATCCATACATTTAAATGGTCCTTGTTGGAGCATACGTAATCCTAAATGTAGCATCGTACTATAGATGGCGTTTACCGCGCCATTTGTGGTATTTACTAAAGCAGAGAAAATGAGTAATTTCAATGGTTCGATAAAGGGGGTAGTTTGCTGTGTGGATGTTATTTTACCTGGCACAATTGGTTTGCACAGGACAAACGGATCTCCTTCGAAGTTGGTAGGGCAACTGCAAGTAGGTATGTGATTGACAACAGCGCATTCCGCACTTTGACCGCAAGTTCCTGGACAGGGATCAACGCATTTTTTATTAATGCACGCCCTATTCGGAGAGCAGTCGGTATTCATTGTACATTCAGGTCGGCATCCTTGATACGGATCTCCTTGATAGTCCGTGAGGCATGTACAAATGCCGTTATCGCACTGAGCATTTGGCCCGCATGGAGATGGTTGACAGGGGTTTGTTGGAACTGACTTTGGTGGTTCTGTAGATAGTAAAAATAGCAAAGTTATACTAAGGGAAAAACGAATATAGAACTGCAGTGTCTACGTACCGACATGTGGGGTACATTGAGTGAACGGATCGCCAGTGAAACCTTCAATGCAGGTACAAATGGGTATATGGTTTTGAACGCGACAAGCAGCGTTAAAACCACAGGAACCAGGACAAGGATCTCTACACTTTTCTGATATACAAGCCAAATTTGAATTACAGTCGGTATTAACACTACATTCCGGACGACAGTTTGGTGGTGCGCCAATGTAATTTCTAAGGCACGAGCAAGAAGGCTGATCACCGATCACACGACATTCTGAATTTGGACCACACGGTGACGGAATACATGGATTTGTCGCTGGCCTTGGAGTTGGAACAACAACTGAAAGAAAATTATATTTTTGTGATAAAGGATCATGTGCTACCGACCTATCGAAATTACCTTCTACACATCGGGTGAAGGGATCACCTGTTAAACCTTTTCCACAGCTACAAATCGGGTTGTGATTAATAACCTCACATCGGGCGTTTAATCCACAAGTTCCTGCACAAGGGTTCGTACATTTGAATTTGTGACAAGCTCTGTCTTGTGGACATTCGGAATTAACAACGCATTCAGGTTTGCAATTGGGAGGCGCTCCGGTATATTCGGGTAAACAGGAGCAAACAGCTTGGTCGTTTGTATTTCGGCATTGGCTGTTTGGACCACACGGCGATGGATTACATGGGTTAATAGGAGCTTCAGTTGCTGCAGAATACAAAGCGGATATTAAAAACTAAAATAATTGACAAAATTTATTAACTTACTTTGCGGAGGCGGAGCAGGGTAGCAATTAGCAAATGGATCACCAATATAGCCGGTTATACAAGTGCAAACAGGTATGTGATTAACTACTGAACATTCTGCAAATTGTCCACATATTCCTGGGCAAGGGTCTTGACATTTACTACGTATACAAGCTCTGTTTGTGGGACAATCTGAACTTAGAATACACTCGGGACGGCAGCCCTCGTATGGATTTCCTTGATAGTCTTCGATACAGCTACAAGCACCTACCCCGTTCCTCTGGGTACAAATTGCGTTACTACCGCACGGCGATGGTTCGCAAGGGTTGATGATTTCTGTTTTCTGCAGTAAACATTGTACAAATGGATTTCCTGTATATCCTTCCAGACACGAGCAGGAAACTGTGTGTGAAACGACTCTGCATTCTGCGTTTTCACCACAACTACCAGGGCAAGGATCTCTACATCTATTGTTAATACATGCGGAAGTCGCTGGGCAATCAGGATTAATTACGCATTCGGGTCTACAGTTTGGAGGCTGTCCAATGTAGTTTTCTCTACATTGACAAACGGGAACCGCATTAGAAACCTTGCATTCAGAGTTAGGACCGCAGGGCGATGGTTGGCAAGGGTTAGTAATTTCTGGTCGTTCTTCTACAACCCTGACAACTTCTTGACAAATAGTGAAAGGGTCTCCTGTCATACCCTCTGGGCAACTACAAATGGGATTGTGATGTATAACTTCGCATCTGGCCCTTAGGCCACACGATCCTAAGCACGGATTGGTACATTTCTGGTTTATGCAGGTTTTCGTAGGAGGACATTCGTTGCTAACGATGCATTCTGGTTTGCATGACGGTGGTGAACCCATGTATCCTTGGAGGCAGGAACAAACTGCTTGACCATTGACGGGGCGACATTGACTGTTCGGACCACAAGGTGACCCGCTACACGGATCTAATTTAGCTTCGGGAGATATTTTATCGGCAACACGACAGTTAGTGAATGGATCTCCAGTAAAACCATCAGGGCATGAACACACCGGTATGTGGTTTACAACGTCACATTGTGCATTATTTCCGCAGGTTCCTATGCACGGGTTTACGCATTTGTTTCGTACACAGGCTTTATCTCGGTTACATTCCGAGCTAACAATACATTCAGGTCTGCAGGATTCGTAAGGGTTGCCTTGGTATTCCGGCAAGCAAGAGCAGATTCCGTCACGACAAATTGCATTAGGACCACAAGGTGAGGGATTGCAAGGGTCGATTGTAGCTGGTGTTGTGGTGGCCGGTATTTGTACACATTGAACGAACGGGTCGCCCGTTAGGCCATCTTGGCAGGTGCAAATCGGTGTGTGATTGAGAACGTGACAACGAGCATTGCTACCGCATGAACCAGGGCACGGGTCTTGACACTTCTGATTTATACATGCTAACTCGCTGCCACATTCAGAGTTAAGCACACATTCGGGTCGACAGTTTGGCGGGGTACCTATGTAATTCGCAAGACAAGAACATGATGGGAGTCCGCCTGTCATTTGACATTGTGAATTAGGTCCACAAGGAGAGGGATAACAAGACGGTGTTCGTTCAGTTTGTTTTGGCTCTTCAGCTGAAATGCAACGACACTGATTGTAAGTAAAAAGGAAATTAAGAATATCATCATCTCTTACGTAATAGAGAACATCTTGAAAATGGATCGCCAGTATAACCGGGTGGACACGCACAAATGGGGTGATGGTTTCTCGTTGAGCACTGAGCTCCTATTCCGCACGTATTCGGGCAAGGATCAGCGCATTTTCTGTTAATACAGGCTTTATCTAACGGGCATTCTGAGCTAACTACACACTCAGGGCGACATTGTGGAGGTGTGCCAATGTAAGAAGGTAAACATGAGCAAACTGCCTGATGGTTTACATTTCTACATTGACTGTTGGGGCCACAAGGGGTTGGTTGGCAGGGATTGTCTGGTTCTCGAGTTGTTTCTGTATAGAACGAGTTATGCATATGTTATAAAAGATTGAAATAATTGTGGATAAATGTACTACCTATTATTTCGTTACACTGGTAGAACGGATCTCCCGTATAACCTTGTACACATGTACAAGTTGGGATGTGATTTATCACTTGGCATTCGGCAAAAACGCCGCAAGTACCAGGACATGGGTCTTTACATTTAAAAGAGACACAAGCCAAGGGTGGACTACAGTCGTTATTATTTTCACATTCTCTGCGACAGCCGAGATCTTTGTCGTAGGGATTGCCTTCAAATCCTGGAAGACAGGAGCATGATCCGGCATTATTTCGTTCACGGCATTCAGAATTGGGACCACACGGTGATGGTGAGCAGGGAGTTGTTGGCGGTCCTTTATCTATTGCTGCAAAGGGATTGGAAATGCAGTTATATAATTCTGTAATGCTTATGATCGTATTGCATTTCTTACGAAGAGGGAGGTTGCATGAAGAGAATGGATCCCCTATATAACCAGGTAAACATGAACATAGCGGAAGGTGATTAACTACTGTGCATTTTGCATTTAAACCGCACACATTTACACAAGGATCTCTACATTTTTCTTTAATACATGCTAAATTGTTCGGACATTCGGTATCTTGAGTGCACTCGGGTCTGCAATTTGGTGCTCGACCGACATAATTCGGCAAACAAGAACACACAGGCTGTGTACCAATTACTTTACATTGAGAATTTGGACCGCATGGTGACGGTACGCAAGGATTACTGTTGGGTTTAGGAGTCGTAGATACTAGAATAAAGAGAGAATGAAGTACAGAGAAAAATAGAAACAAATAGTATAGAACATACTCTCTTGTTTGAGACAGATAACGAAAGGATCCCCTGTAAAGCCTGGCATGCAACTACATATAGGGTTGTGGTTTATAACTTGACATTTAGCGTTTATTCCACACGTGTTTGGACATGGATCGCCACATTTTTGTTCTATACATGCTTTATCTTGGGGACATTCGGAGCTTATAAGACATTCAGGTTTACATGCCGGTGGTATTCCAATATATCCCGCGTTACAAGAGCAAACAGCGTGATCGTTTATCACTTTGCATTGGCTGTAAGGTCCACAGGGCGACGGATCGCATGGGTTTAAATTTTCAATTATTTCTGAAGAAAATTAACAATAAACAGTTGCTTCTATTGATTCGATTAGGTTTAGAAATATCTTACTGGCTTGAATTATTTCGCATGATCTGGTTGGGTCACCGCTGTAACCGGGTAAGCAAATGCAAGAGGGCGCATGATTAAACACTTGACATTCGGCATTTAGACCGCAAGAGCCTAAACAAGGATCTATACATTTGTTGTTAACGCAGGCGCGACTTCTATCACAGTCCGAATTTACAACGCATTCAGGTCTGCAACCTACGTACGGATCTCCTAAATATTCGGGTAAACATGAACATGATCCAGCGCCGTTTTGTTCCCGACACACGGCATTTGCGCCGCAAGGCGATGGATTACAAGGTTGTATTGGCTTTTCAGTAATAGGAGCTGAAAATAAATATAGTAAATCATGCAAAGAGTATAAAATAGTGTAAATGTACATATAAAGTAGAAAAAAGAGGCTTACTACTAGGAATAATAGAACAACCACTAAATGGATCTCCCGTATATCCGCTAATACATTGACATACAGGAGCATGGTTTATTACTCTACAATCAGAAAAGGAGCCACATGATCCGGGACAAGGATCAACACATCTTTCTTTTTGGCAAGCTAAGTTTCCGGGACATTCTTCATTTATTACACATTCTGGTCGACAGTTGGGTGCACGTCCTATATAGTTAGGTAAACAAGAGCATGCAACTTGATTACCGACTACTTTACACTGAGAATTAGGTCCACATGGTGAGGGTATACAAGGATTTGTGTTCACTACATCAACACTCTCTGAAAGTATAAAAGTACATGCAAGAAAAGTTTAAGAATACAGATAGACAATAGGCTTACTTTCTTCTACCAAACACCTAGTAAACGGATCTCCTGTAAAACCTGGATTACAACTACAAATAGGATTATGATTTACGACTACGCAACGTGCATTTAGGCCGCATGTTCCTGGGCAGGGATTTTGACATTTTTTGTTAATGCATGCTTTGTCTTGCGGACAGTCTGCGCTTATCATGCATTCTGGTTTACATGCTGGAGGAGTTCCTATATAATCTTTTTGACAGGAACATACAGCATGATCATTGACTACGCGACATTCACTGTAAGGGCCACATGGCGAGGGAACGCACGGTTCAGGCTTGTTTTCTTCCACTAAAGATAAGCAGAAATTGAAATGTTTGAAAGCAAAGAGTATAAAATCAAGATGCAATAGTAATAGGTAGATATCTTACAAGGAATCGGTAGACTGCAAGAGATAAGAGGATTTCCGGTATAGCCAGTAATGCAGAAACATGAAGGTGCATGGTTCGTAACTACACATTCTGCGTTTATTCCGCAAGTTCCGGGGCATGGATCTCTACATTTGTTGTTGATACAGGCTCTAGTTTGTGGGCAGTCGGAATTTGTTACACATTCTGGTCGACAACCCGTGTACGGATCCCCGAAATATTCAGGGATACATGTACACGAACCGATCCCGTTTCTCTCTTTACACAACGCATTGGCTCCGCAAGGGGATGGATTACAAGGGTTACGAGGTTCCTCAGTCGGTTGAATAACTAAAATTTTCGCCAAATTATTATCGCAAGCGATTTACTTTAATCGCGTGCTGTCTTACGAGGAATTTGTGTGCATCCGGAGAAGGGATCGCCGGTAAAACCTTCTTGACATGAGCACACCGATCGATGATTAATAACCATACAATCAGTATTAATTCCGCAAGAACCGGGGCAAGGATCAATGCATTTTTCATTCTGGCACGCTTTATTTGAAGCACATTCGGAATTAGTTCTACATTCTGGTCGACAATTTGGAGCTCTCCCGATATAGTTCGATAAACAGGAACATGCAGGGGTGTTATTTATAACCCGGCATTGCGAATTTGGACCGCATGGTGAAGGCAAACAGGGATTTGGATTTTCTTTAACTATTACAGGTCCTACAAGTTTAGAATCGGTAAAAAAATGTTTTCAATTCTTGTATCTGGAAAGCATTACTTTCTTCCTGTACACATCGAACGAACGGATCACCGGTATATTGTGGCAAACAACTACAAACAGGATTGTGATTGACCACTTTGCATACGGCACTAAGACCGCATGTGCCTGGACAAGGATCGACGCATCGCAGATTAACGCATGCTTTATCTAAAGGACATTCGGAGCTAATCATGCATTCGGGCCTACACGTTGGAGGCGTTCCGATGTAATTAGGTTGGCAAGAGCAGACCGCATGATTATTTGTTACTCTGCAGTTACTATAAGGTCCACAAGGCGATGGGTCACAAGGATTTTTCGTTTCTTCAACTAAATGATATCATCACGTTAAACAAGGTAAAATTTGAGTAAATATTGGAGATTACGTACTAAGTGGTCGTTGATGACAGGCGGTTAATGGATCGCCAGTAAATCCTTCCGAACAGAAACAGGTCGGAGCATGATTATTAACGACGCATTCGGCATTAATTCCGCAAGTACCAGGACATGGATTTCGGCATTTATTGTTCATGCATGCTTTGTCCATCGGGCAATCAGAATTTGTGATACATTCGGGGCGACAACATGTGTAGGGATCGCCGATATATTCTGGTAAGCAAACGCAAGATCCCAGACCGTTACGCTCTTTACAAATGGCATTCGCACCACAAGGCGAAGGATTACACGGGTTACGGTTTTCTTCGATTTTAGGTTCTACTAAAATCGAATCAATAATTTTATTTTACTGGTATAAAAAGATTGTGAGGTACAATTCTTACTCGGTGTTGGGGAACATCCGATAAACGGATCTCCTGAGAACCCTTGTTCGCAGTTGCAAACGGGCGAATGACTTATGACTCTACAGTTTGTATTTATCCCGCAGGAACCAGGACAAGGATCTCTACATTTTTCTTGTATGCAAGCAAGATTTAAAGGACATTCCGCATTTATCATGCATTCGGGCCGGCAGTTAGGAGGTCTACCGATGTAATTCGGTAAACAAGAGCATGCTGGTTGATTATTTACAATTCTACATATAGAATTAGCTCCGCATGGAGAAGGAACGCAAGTGTTTTCGGGAACAGTAGCAATATCCTTTTCTGTAATTTAAAATTTGGAGAATAAAATAGTATTGGCTGCAACAGTGATTGCTGCTGCTTACTTTCTTCCACAACGCAACGAACGAATGGATCTCCGGTGAAGCCCGGCGAACAGCTGCATATGGGATTGTGATTAACAACTAAACATCTGGCATTTAAACCGCATGTTCCAGGACAAGGATCTTGACATTTAGAATTAATACAAGCCCTATCGGGAGAACAATCGGCGCTTATTATACATTCTGGCCTGCAACTTGGCGGTGCTCCTATGTAGTCTTGCTGACACGAACATACCGCATGGTCGTTTACTACGCGGCATTGGCTGAATGGTCCACACGGAGAATTTGCACAAGGATTAGTTTGCGGTCTGGGTTCGACTTTTGAAGAAAGAGGAAAACAATAAATAATGTAAAAGGCATAGAAAAGATAGTGATTGTAGATATATAAAAGTTAAAGATATAAGTACTTAGTTGTAAATCTGAAAATAAAGAAAAGATAGAAGTCTTACTAATTTCTGGTAATAAACAAGAAGTCAGCGGGTTTCCAATGTAGCCAGTAAAACAATTGCAAATCGGCGTGTGATTTATAACGGAACATTCTGCATTTATGCCACAAGTGCCTGGACATGGATCTTCGCATCTAGTATTTATACAGGCTCTATGTTTTGGACAGTCTGTGTTCATTAAACATTCCGGTCTACAACCAGTATAAGGATCTCCAAAATAATCCGGAATGCAACTACAAGAGCCTACTTCGTTTTGTTCTTTACATATCGCATTTGGACCGCATGGATTTGGTACACATGGTTGCCTTATTTCTGGCTCAATCACTCTTACTGAAAAAGTAGTCGAATAATTAGGGCTTTATTAGCCGAAATTGTTATTCTTTCTGTTACGACGTTAAAAAGGTATTATTCATTTTAATTTGCAGTATGTCGCTATTTGACGTTACTACAGCATTTACTGTCATTAAGTGCACTTGGTTTTAATTGGTTTGGGTTAGAAGCCGTTTAGTGCTTTTTAATTGTTTTATTCGTTTGTGATTATTCCTATTCCTATTCTAGTTCATTTTATTATTAATTAAATTAATTGTTTACACCACCTAATCGCATTATATATTTGTTAAGAAAAACCTTTTTTAGATCGAATTTTAGTGTTTTAATAGTTTTTATTATCGCTCGGTTTTTTTTTTGCGTCCTTTGGTTAATGCTTATTTGGCGGGAATTAATTTTATTAAGCGTGAAAGCTGTAGGCAATATTGCAATTGGAAATGCTTACTTTGAAGGCATCCCAAAAACGGATCACCAGTAAACTGCGGTAAACAATAACAAACGGGAACGTGATTAATGACTTTGCATTCAGCATTAGCTCCACATGATCCTGGACAAGGATCTATACATCTTTGATTTTGACAAGCTTTATTTGATGGACATTCAGAATTAAGGACACATTCTGGTCTGCAATTTGGCGCTACACCGAAGTAATTTGGCAGACAGCTGCAAACTGCTTGTTCATTTACATTGTGACACAATGAAAATGGGCCGCATGGAGACGGAACACAAGGATTTATAATTTCGACTATTTCGAATTCTACAAATGAGACAACAAACGGTAGAAAGAATATACAGATACAGTGAAAGATGTAGTGTCCTTACTTTCTTCGGGGAAACATCTGGTGAAAGGATCACCGGTGAATTCAGGAGGACAGCTACAAAAGGGATTGTGACTAACTACTCTACAAAGTGCATTAAGACCACACGTTCCGGGACATGGATCGATACATCTTTGATTATTGCAAGCTTTATCTAATGCACATTCGGCGTTTGTAATGCATTCGGGTCTACAGTTCGGTGGTGATCCGATACATCCTAATTCGCAAGTACAAACCGGTCTGTCATTAACTTCTCTACATATACTGTACGGCCCACAAGGCGATGGTGCGCATGGATTAACAATAATCGGAACAGCTAAGTAAGAAAATAGATTAAGAAAAGTAAGACACATGCAATAGAGAAGCCTTACTAATTTCGACTATTTCTCGACAAAGAACCAAAGGATTTCCAGTAAACCCAGGTAAGCAGATACATGAAGGACGGTGATTTACAACTTCGCAATCGGCGTTTATTCCACAACTTCCAGGACAAGGATCCTGGCATTTATTTAACACACAAACTTTATCAAACGAACAATCGTCATTTATCAAACACTCTGGTCTACAGCCTATGTAAGGATCTCCGAAATAATCTTTAATACAGGTACACGAGCCTGCTCCATTAAATTCTTTACATATTGCGTTTGAACCGCAAGGAGAAGGATTACAAGGATTTCGTATTTCTTCAACTATAACTGCAGGATTTTCCATTTATATTGGTTCGAAGAGAAGAATAAAAACAAACTTACCTTGAACGGGGTTACATCCTGAAAATGGATCTCCTTCGAAGCCTTCAACACACGAACAAATTGGTCGATGATTTTGCGTGACACACTGGGCGTTAAAACCACATGATCCAATACAAGGATCTTTACATTTGTTGTTGAAACAGGCTAGATGTAAGGGACAATCTTGATGGATAATACATTCCGGTCTACAGTTCGGAGGAGCACCAAACATATCAGGCAGGCAGGAACATACAGCTCTGGAATCGACGACACGACATTCTGCATTCATACCGCAAGGAGAAGGTACGCATGGGCTAGTAGGTGGAGCTATTTTTGGTTCTGGAAAGGAAGATGTATTTTTGTAAAAAATATTAATAAAATTCATTTTCATCTCATACCTTCTTTGATACACGAAATGAATGGATCACCGGTATACAGTGGAGGACAACTGCAGACGGGGTTATGGTTGATGGTTTGACAACGAGCTTCTAAGCCACACGAGCCACGGCAAGGATCTTGACATTTTTGGTTTATGCATGCTTTGTCAAGCGAACACTCGGAACTTACAAGACATTCTGGTCTACAGTTTGGAGGTGCACCGAAGAAACCTTCTTGACAAGAGCAAATGGCGTGGTTATTACTAACTCTGCAAAGACTATTCAATCCACAAGGAGACGGTTCGCATGGGTTCTTAGGTGGTTCCGGTATTTCGGGTTGTTTTCTACATGCCGTGAAAGGATCTCCGGTAAAACCAACCACACAAGAACAAGCGGGAATGTGATTAGTCACCGTGCATTCGGCGTTTAGGCCGCATAGACCTTCGCACGGATTTCTGCAGTGTTGAGCAATACAAGCTAAATTACTGGCACATTCTGAATTAATGGTACATTCTGGTCTGCATCCTCCGGCATACGGATTTCCTATATAAGGCGGTATACAGCTACATCTTGCTACACCGTCTGCTATCGAACACTGTGCATTTAGACCACACGGCGAAGGATTGCAAGGGTCCTTCGGTGTAATTTCAACAATAATTTTCTCGCATCCTACGAATGCATCGCCTTTGAAACCCTCTAAGCAGCTGCAGAACGGCGTGTGATTGACTACGTTACATCTCGCATTTTGTCCACAACTTCCTGGACAAGGATCGGTACATCTTTCTTTTATACAAGCTTTATCACTTGGACATTCCTGATTGATAACGCATTCAGGTCTACAGTAAGGTGGATTACCGATGTAATTTGCAACGCAAGAACAAACTGGACGCCCTTGGTTTATTTGGCAAATAGAATTCGGGCCACACGGCGACGGAATGCAGGGGTTTTCAGGTTTCTTGGGTTCTACTGCAATGGGTGTATAACAGCTCGTGAACGGATCGCCTTGTTGACCAGGTGGACAACTGCAGACTGGATTGTGGTTGATTACTTTACACAGTGCATTAGCGCCACATGTTCCTTGGCAAGGATCTATGCATTTTTGATTGATACAGGCTTGGGTTTGTGGACATTCGGAACTAACAATACATTCAGGTTTGCATGTTGGTGGCACACCTTTGCATCCCGGAAGACAAGAACAAGTTGCATATCCTTGTGAAGAAATCATGCATCTGCTGTAGGGTCCACAAGGTGATGGATCGCAAGGATTAAGAGGTTTTATTGTTGTGGGAACGATAGGATGTTGGATTGGGAAACAAGAAACGAAAGGATCTCCGGTATGCTCCAAAGGACAGAAACAAATTGGTACGTGATTAGCAACGTCACAGTTAGCTCCTACGCCACATACACCGTTGCAAGGATTGACACATTTGTTGTTGATGCATGATTTTGTCAAAGGGCAGTCCGGATTGACAACACATTCGGGGTGACAGGCTAACCATGGATTTCCGTAGAAACCTTCTTTACACACACAGGCCAATCCTTGTCGTTGCCTGGTGCATTCCGCGTTAGCTCCACATGCAACGTTTTCACACGTTTCAACTTTCGGTATTACACCTGAAATTGATACATTTTGTTAGGCATTTATAAACAATTACAAAAAGGTGTTCGCATACCTAATTCCGGTTTTATACAGTGTTCAAATGGATTTCCTATCAGTCCTTGTGGACAAAAGCAAACGGGAGTATGTGCAATTACGTTACATTCGGCATTAACTCCACAAGAGCCTGGACAAGGATCGACGCACTTGTAACTAATACACGCGTTATCGAAAGGACAATCTGCATCCGTTAAACATTGTGGTCCACACGAAGGATTGTAAGCTGCATGAGGTCCTGCACAGGGATTGCAAATGGCAATTTGTGTACCATAAACGTCGCATGCCATATTAGGGTCGCATGGAGATGGAGAACACGGCAGTGGTCTTGTAATATTTGGTTGATGAATTGTTATAGTTGCTATAACGAAAAATGACGAATATAAATTGAAGAACATTAATGATTTTGGATAATTTGTAACTCACATTCTATCGTACAGTGGTAACGAGGGTCTCCAATATAACCAGTAGGACAACTACAAAAGGCAGTGTGATCCCTGACATTGCATAGTGCGTTTATACCGCAAAGATTGTCGAAAGAGCAAGGATTTTTACAGTAGCGGTTAATACAGGCTTTATCGGATGGACAGTCTGAATTGAGAATGCATTCCGGTTGACAGCCAAACTGCGGATCACCTTTGAAATCGGGAAGACAGGAACAAACAGCCCTTCCATTAGTAACTTGACATATCGTATTTAATCCACACGGACTAGGTATACAGGGATTGTTGAGCGGCATTGGTTCAGGTAAAGGCGAGCAACGAATCAATGGGTTTCCAGTTAAACCGCTGTTGCATGTGCACACCGGATGATGTTTTTCAACTCTACAGTTCGCATTGATTCCGCAGCATCCGTGACATGGGTTTTGACATCTGAAACCTATACATGCGTTGTTATCGCTGCAGTCGTCATCTGTGGCACATTCGTATCGTTGACATCCTAATGCTGAGGTAGGATCGCCCACGGTTCCTTCTGGGCATTTGCAGACAGATTTTCCGTCTGGAGTAACGATACATTCAGATCCATAACTGCATGGATTTGGAACGCAAGGCGAGAATGGTTGAGGTCGACAACCGCTGTAAGGGTCTCCGATATATCCTGGTTTACAGTAACATTTTTCTTGATTGTTGGATACGTAACAGTCGGCATAAACTCCACATGGTCCTGGTTGACATAAAGTTATTATGGGAACATGTTGTACACAACTCCTATACGGATTTCCGATGGTTCCAGCAGGACAGAAACAGACAGATTCCTGAGACGCGTCGCACAATGCGCCGAGTCCGCAGGGATTGGGTTCGCATGGGTTTCTTTGCTCAACACATCCACGAATGGTGTTTGGACTTTCTAGGTATCCAGATAAACACGTGCATTTAGCAAAACCATTGTCTAATATCGTACATTGGGTATTGGGTCCGCAAGGTGATGGATCGCACGGATTAGCAGGCAGTGTGCAAGGAACTTGCGGGGGAGTTCCTTCAAATTCTGGAAGACAGAAGCAGACAGCTTTTCTGTTCACTACACGACAACCGGAATTCGGACCACAAGGATTTGGAACACATTCATCGCCATCTGGAACTAAAAAAGGAAAATAGTTGATTTGATTAATGTTTGGGTGTTTAATGTTTTACTTACTGCAACTTTTGAATGGATTTCCTGTCAATCCTTTAGGACAGTAGCAAATAGGATTGCCGTTGTCAAGCTCGCACAAAGCCCTAAGTCCACAAGGATTGGGATCACAAGGATTGGTGGGGGGATGACAACCGGATAAGGGATTTCCAGTAAAACCGGCAGGACATTTACAAGTAGCTCTATGATAAATTACTTCGCATATGGCATTTGTACCACACTGGCAAGGGGAACTGCATCTACCGTTGATACAAGCTTCATTAGAAGAGCATGCATCATCGCTTTGACATCCGTGCACTAAAAGATGTGAAACTTAATGTTTAGAGGGGCAGTTGTTTATGAGTACGTTTATATACCTCTTCCGCAAATGGTGTAAGGATTTCCTTCAAAGCCTGACAAACATTGACACTTTACTTCGTGGTTTTGCGGAATACATTCCGCATTTTCACCGCAAGAGTCTTCGAAGCATGGATTTATACAAAGTCGATTCAATCTATCACATAGTTTATCCGGCGGACAATCTTCATTGTATTGACAGACGGGTTTATAATCGAAAACTAAAATTGAAGAAATATGAAATGATACAGGTTCCAGGGGTTTTGTTTTATAACAGTGTGTTATACCTGGTGCACATTTCACGTAACCGTTTCCATGGAATCCTTCTAAACAGCTACAATCTGTCCCGTGGTTTGTGTTGATACAGACTGCGTTTTGAGTGCAAGGATTGTGTAGGTCACACGGCCTTTGACATCTTTGATCAATACATGCTTCCGTGTATTCGCAATCTTCGTTAGTTATGCATCCTCCTACTATATTTGATGAATTAGTTTTTGACAAAAAAAATTACAAAGGTTAGAGAGACGCCTCTGCAATTTGTAACTGCTGAAATGTGAACGCATTCCTAATCCTGCATTTTCATTTTATATTAATTTTAAGTGGGAAATGTCGAAAAATCTAATTTTTAATTTGCTTTTGCACATTGATTGTTTTTAGTGTGAATTTATGAAACAATTAAATTAGTTTACAATTATTTGTTAATAATAAGTAACTTTGTAGTAGAAGATTGTGAAGTAAGTGAAAAATTATTAAAATTATTATTTTAAAAATAGTTTACAGAATGTGTGGAAAAATTGTATTTGTAGTATGCAAGTATAATATTAATTGAATGTACAAAATGGCAATGTGCAATGTATATACATACGTTATATTTAAAATGTGCTATAAGTGTTTCGATTTTTTAAAACTTTACAACCCTTGGGGACATATGTAACAGAGAGTTATTAGGTATATTATTATTGTTAGCTTACTCTGTGAATGAGTTTTAAAGCATTTTACAGCGGGGTTTCCTTCGAATCCTTTAGGACATGTGCAGATTGGTCTGTGCATTTTTGCTTGACATTTTGCCGTTTGTGCGCATGCGCTGGTAAATTCACATGGGTCCTGACAAACTGACATAAAACATGCCTCGCTTTCGAGACAATCGTTATCGCTGGTACAGGGCTGGGGCGATTTTGGAAAACCTGGTTCTAGTGTTGAAATAGAAGTTAGTTTTAGTATCAAGAAGTTGTTAATTTATTAAAACATTTCGTCATAAAACTTTACTACATGACCAGATGATAAATGGGGTTCCGAGATTGAGGAAGATATCAGAACCAACTTCAAAACGTTGTAGTATTTTTATATAAATTTCAACTTTATAAAAGTTTTAAGAAAAACGAAAGAAATAGAAACCTGAATAGAAAAGTGAGTATATTGCAGGATTATGATATTTTAAAGACAGGCTTATGTACAAGTATTTTTCTGCTGATCAAAAATTGATGTTTTGTAAATTTACTTTTTAAATCTGTAAAAAATTTTGAAATTTAAAAATGCTCAAAATTCATCTGTGAACGTATATATAATGTGAGGGACATGATAGTTTACCGGTACGTTGAATGTTATCCCTTCACAGGGATGGTCATGTAGCAAGGAATTACAACACAGTAAAATTATAAGAGAACATTCCAACTGGTTTATTATTTATAATTAATAGTTAATATATCGTCACTTGTGGTTTGCTGGTCGTTTTCATGTAGGGGGTAGTTGTTATAACGATTTTTGATTATGTTTCAAGTTTGTAAATATATATATAAGTAATACAAACCCCACGTAGTTGACTAAAATGCCTATTATTTAGTTATTCTTTTGGATACGTTGTTCAAGAAATGTTATACCAAACAACTACGATATTATTTAAGTATTACCACTACTTCCTGCTAATGTAAATTTATCTAGACTATACATGCAGACTTTTAAATTCTATGTAAATGGCATTTGTGCAAGTTTCAGTTCACAAAAACTTAACACTAATTAATAAATCTACATGAAAGTAACTGAAACTTGTACGAATTAACGTTAATCACACGATATACAGTCGGTAATCACTTTAGATATTTTTAGTTTACACCTCTTAATTCTACCATTATTAACCTTTTCATTCTACAAATAAATAAATACTGTAAACACTATATCTAACTATAACTACAATTTTTACAAATATCTAGTACCATGTACCTTTCGAACACTCCTGCATTGCATTCCCAGTAAATCCAGGTGGACAACTACAGTGTGCTGTGTGGTTAGAAACTGTACAAAGGGCATGTTTACCACAACTTTGCCCCGTTGAACAAGAATTAATACATTGGCCTTTCAGGCAGGTGTCTGTAGCAGGGCAATCTCTGGCCATTTTGCATATTTGTTTAGTTGTGTTAGCGGTCAGCATGGTTACGTTTTGGGATGTCAAAGGTCGGGATGTCGAGGAACGATTTTGGTATGCTACCGATTCTGTACTAGGCGTAAGTTGCTTTGGAAGTTTGTACGATTTTGTGGTAGAAGTAAACAATGTCTCTGTTGTTTTTTCTTGTACTTTTGAAGTTTCAGGTGACTCTGAGGATGTAGTTGGAGTTGGTGCTTCTAAGAGCACTGTGGGTTTTGGAGATTCGCTATGGCTTAGTTCAGGATATTCACTTGTGAACTCTGGCGTTGAAGAGCTCGCAGCTAATGTCGCCTCTTTTGTGATGTATTCTGTGCTAGAATATCCTTCAGTAGTTTCAGTAGCAGATTTTGTTTCTCCTTTGGAGTCAATACTACTCGTTGGGGTAGTTGTAATAGTCAACTCGCTTGAAGTTTCCGTCTTTCTCATTTTTTCTGGACTAATGATTGTAACTGGGGAGGTAGAAGATTCTTTATCATGAGTTAGAATGATTGTGGTTGGTTCGTATTCAGAAGTAGAGCTCTGTAGATTTTCTTCTGTAACTTTAATAGCTATTGCAGTTTTCTCTGTACTTTCTCCAAATGCAGTTGTGGTCTCCAAAGAAGAAGTGGTGTATATGGCACTTTGAGTAGTCTTACTTGTAAGCGTTGTAGGCATTTTGGATGTTGTTGCGATTTCAGATTTGGATTCATTCGTACTTTCTCTGGGACTCGTGCTTGTAAATGCATTTTCTTCTTTTGTTTCAGCATGCCCATATGACGAAGTAGCAGTTGAAGTTTCAATACCATGGGCTGGTATTGTTGTTTGTTTTGTTTTTGTAGAAGGAATGGTATTCTCTGTAGTCTCGGTATTTTCGGTTGTACTTGTAGAAACTATATCTCGATTTGTAAATTTATTTGTTTGTAACGGTGTGTAGTTGGTTGAAAAAGCGGTTGTTGTCTCTGTTGGACTTTCAGTGAATACCTTGTGTTCTGTAGATGTTCCAAACGTTGTTAAATAAGATTCTTCTTTACTGCTGCTGGATATAATAGATGTGGTAGTCTCAGGTGTACCAATACCTTCCTTATATGACTCTTGTGTACTAGGAAGTGAAGTTTGAGTTGGTGAAGTAGTTGTTGTGACTCCTTGTGTAGACGATTCAAGAGTTGAATAAGATTCTTCTGTAGTACCGCCGGGAATAAAAGACGTGGTAGTTTCAAGTATACCATCACTTTCTTTGTATGACTTTTGTGTGCTAGGAAATGCACTTTGATTTTGTAAAGTAGTTGTTGTATCTGCGAAAGGCTTAGTCGTTTTTGTAGATGCTTCCAATGTTGTTGGAAAAGATTCTTCTTTAGTACTGTCAGTCATGAAAGGCGTGGTACTTTCAGGTATACCATGACTTTCTTTGTATGACTTTTGTGTGCTAGCAACTGTAGTTTGTTTTGGTAAAGTAGTTGTGTCAGTGAAATGCTTAACTGTACTTGTAGGTGTTTCCGATGTTGTTGAATAAAGTTCTTCTGTAGTATTGTCAGTTATAAAAGGTGTAGTATTTTCAGGTATACCATGACTTTCTTTGTATGACTTTTGTGTGCTAGCAACTGTAGTTTGTTTTGGTAAAGTAGTTGTGTCAGTGAAATGCTTAACTGTACTTGTAGGTGTTTCCGATGTTGTTGAATAAAGTTCTTCTGTAGTATTGTCAGTTATAAAAGGTGTAGTATTTTCAGGTATACCATGACTTTCTTTGTATGACTTTTGTGTGCTAGCAACTGTAGTTTGTTTTGGTAAAGTAGTTGTGTCAGTGAAATGTTTGACTGTACTCGTAAGTGTTTCAGATGTTGTTGAATAAAGTTCTTCTGTAGTATTACCAGTTATAAAAGGTGTGGTACTTTCAGGTATACCATGACTTTCTTTGTGGGACTTTTGTGTACTAGCAATTGTGGTTTGTTTTGGTAAAGTAGTTGTGTCAGTGAAATGCTTAACTATACTTGTAGGTGTTTCAGATGTTGTTGAATAAAGTTCTTCTGTAGTATTGTCAGTTATAAAAGGTGTAGTATTTTCAGGTATACCATGACTTTCTTTGTATGACTTTTGTGTGCTAGCAACTGTAGTTTGTTTTGGTAAAGTAGTTGTGTCAGTGAAATGTTTGACTGTACTCGTAAGTGTTTCAGATGTTGTTGAATAAAGTTCTTCTGTAGTATTACCAGTTATAAAAGGTGTGGTACTTTCAGGTATACCATGACTTTCTTTGTGGGACTTTTGTGTACTAGCAATTGTGGTTTGCTTTGGTAACGTAGTTGTTGTTTCAGTAAAATGCTTGACTGTACTCGTAGATGTTTCAAATGTTGTTGAATAAGATTCATCTTTAGTACCGACAGATATAGCTGATGTGGCAATTTGAGGAGTACCATTGCTTTCTTTGTATGATATTTGTGTGCTAGGAGCTGTACTTTCAGTGGTTAAAACACTTCCCGTCGATTCTTTTACAAATGTCTTTTGAGTGGATAATGTTTTAGTAACGGGTATCAATTTAATAATACTGGGAGCAGTGGCAGTATTTTTCTCGTCACTTTTTTCCGTAGTTTCTGCCAATGTGATGATTAACGGGGTTGAAGATTCTGCAGTTGGAGCATAAGTATAAGCAGGTAGGATTTTAGTAGTTTCATTCTCGATTGTTTCGGTTACGTAAGACGTAGGTGTTTTGCTAGGAAAAGTGAAATATATTTTGGGAGTAGTTTCTAGAATTGGATTAGTTTGAGATTTTCCAGTTGTCAGTGTGCTAATAATGTCATGAGTTGTTCTTTGACTCATTTTCGGTGGTGTAGAAGGTGGAATTTCTGTAGGCCATTTTGTAGTTGTTTCTGATACTGTTGCCTCAGTATTACTTTCATTTTTACGTTGGATACTTTCAGTTGTAATTTCAGAGATTACTGTTGATGCCTTTGATGTAAATGACGTAGGGGTGGTTGCAGTGTTAGCTTCTGTAACTGTTTCTGGTTGGTGTTCTTGCCCACCAGGTTTAGTAATTTCTGTGTAAGTCATTGTTATTTCAGAAATTCCAGCCACAGAAGGAACTGTGTACGATTCGGGCACCGTGCTCATTTTTGACATTGTTGATGCAGATGGTGATGCAGCAGTAACGAAGTTGAATGCTGTAGTTCCACCGTCATTCATTTTACGAACTTCTGTTGATGAAGAAGGGATTTCGTGTGTTGTTTCTTTTGTTTCTGAGAATGTAAAGTATGTTGGTGGGACGGAATCAGTCACACTTTCCTTGGTTTGCATTTTCGTTTCTTGTTCAATCGACTGTGAAGTAAAAACTGTTAATGTTGGTTCAAATTCTTGTGTAGTTGCAGTTTTAGAGGATGTACCCTGGCTTTTGCCTTCTCCGCTTGCTTCAGTGGAAAATGAAGGGTTTGTTGTTTTAACTTGTGAGATTGTGGAAAATGTTTGAGTGGTTATTCTTTCTGTGGTTACAACATTCGGATATTTACTTTCGCGACTTAATTCGGTAGTCATTGACGAATAGGTGGCAGGTGTTGTTAGTTCGGATTGTAGAATCTCACTGGATAATTCAACCTTACTGGAAGTATAAGATGGAGGAACAGTTACAGGAATTTGGTTCTTTATATCAGATTGTGCAAAAATTGTTGGGGATGTTGGCTCAGTTTCTAGGTTTGTAAAACGAGTTTCGGAAGCAGTTTCACTTTCACTTTTGCTACTAGTTTCAGTAAATACTGATGAAACTGTTTTATCTGTTGCAGGAATTATTTCAGTATTGACTGGTATACTCGATTTCTGAGTTATGTCGCCATATCCTGCTGTACGTGTTGTTGTTTCGTGTTGGAGTTTTCTTTCGGAAACTGTAGATATTATTGTTGATGATTCCGTAGAAATTTTTCTATTATCTTGTGAACTAGTCGATTCGGAAGTATCTGGAAAAGTGTATCTAATTGTTGTATCTGTAGAAGATAAGGGCTGCAAAGCGGGTGTCATTGTAGTTTTTGGTGTTTCGCTTTTCGGGAAACTGCTCAAAGTTGCCCTTGTGAACGGCGTCATCGTGGAAGAAAACTCTAATGTCGTTTGTTCAGCTGCTTCTGTGACTATGTGATGACTTATTGTTGTTATTTCATCATAATTAGTAGTTGTGGGGGTAAATGTGTGGAATTTAGTATGTCCATCAGTTTTTGCTGTTTCAGGTTCGTAATACGTTGTTAATACCTCGTTGGTGGTCGAAGGATATGCGATTTTAGATGTAATATATTCAGTGGTTGATATTGTAGGTATCCTAGTGACATTTTCTTCTATAATAGTTGAAGTCTCCACAGTACTAGTTGGTTGTTTTTCGTTCTCGCCCGTTGTCACCTTCGGATAAACTTGCGAAACCTTTGCTACCTCAATTGATTCAGTTGTTGGAAAAATTTGAGATACTTTTGCTGTGATTTCTTCCTTAGGTGTAGCGGTACGTTCCGATGATGATTGAGGATAAACTGGTGATACTTTTGCCGTAACCAATTCTTCTGAGGTTTCTGTTGGTTCATGTTGAGCTTCCATTGTTGTAGGATGTTCAAACGATTTCGCTTTTCTTTCAGTTGTTGTTGAATAAATTTTCGTTGATTCTTTTGTTACTTCCTCTGCTATTGTCATTAGAGGGGGACTCACTGATTGTCCTGTTGTAGTTATTATTACGTTTTCGTCAGTTGGTTTTGCTGTAGTTGTAACGTTTGCTTTCTCAGGTGTTACATAGACAACTTTTTCGGTTGTAGTTGTAGTTTTGGCGGTGCTGACGTGTTTAAATATTGGAAGCAGAGTTGATGGTTCCAATATAGTAGTGGTTTCGGTAGTAATATTTTCTTCAGCAAGGGTTGAAGAAGGAAGGGTATTAGTGGGTACAAGCGTGTCGTATGTCAAGGTCGTTGTGCTTTCATTGTGAGTTAGTGTTGATGTAGTTGTTGTACCTGCATCTGTTACTTTAAAACAACAAAATACTGTTAGAAAATTATTCTATTGACTAACTACATTATTCACTGTCAACGATATGCAGATGTTTATCCCAATAGCGGAGCTGAAATTGTTAGGATTAGGAGTAAAGCGTTTACGTGATTATTAAGGCAAGCATAAATTCTAGCAGTTCTCACTTTCCTTTAAATAATTTTCCAAAATTCCTTATATATTTGTAGGCATATTATTCGTGATTTAGTGAAATTAAAAACTTCAGGTTATTTCCGCAGAAAAATATACCTACATTTTGTTTTTAAGTATTAGAAATACATACTTTCGTAAAAACGAGAACTGCATTGACTTTCTACTATTTACATGCATATAATGAAAGACCTTTAATCTAATAGTATCACAAATAGTTCCCAAATCTATACACACATATACTGTATCTAAAAAAGACAGAAACTGTACAAAGCAACAGATATTTTCGACCAAGTATTTAAAACGCAAGACATCCCTAACCTCTACACTGTAAAATAATTTTACAGAATTTATCCGTTTATCTTTAAAGGCTTTTCTACTCATTTAGTAGAACTAATCTGAAATTACTATTTTACAATGTCGAGGCTGATAAACTGAAAAAACGCAAATAGAGAAACCAACAACATCTTAACGATAGTAAAGTACTTTTACTATTAGCAACAAGAGAAGGCGTCTAGATATAAAGTTTTCCCACAAAACGAAGTAATAATCGAATGGTTCCTTTTGAATTTTTCGGAAATATTGTCGCATAGGCATCTATGTTATAAGAATAGATTTTATGTAAAGTATAGGTGATGTTTGCCAATATGAACGTTTGTAGAAAAGTATTGCGATTGTTTGAAGTAAACATTCCAATATCCAAGAGAATTGAATGCGAAAATGGCAAAGAATCTTCACCATGATTATCGAACAGTTTGTGAAAAATAAATTCAAATTCTTACCTTTGATGCAAGCTCCGGTAGTTGGATCACAGGATACTCCTGGAGGACAATGTTCACAACCCGTGAAAAGGTGTTTTTCCCCTATAATAATTGTTTAGAATTTTTTTATGAATTGACAGAGGCTTTGGCTTCGATATAATAACAACTTTTTTTTTGGGTGATAAATCTAAACTTACCTTGCACACAATTACATCCATCACAAAGGTATCCATATTTACAATCTGAATCCTTTTGGCAATGGCACACTGTAAATTTGTTAGTATTAGTTTATTTATTTAAATGATAGTTAAGTGAGAAATTAAATTACCTTTTATGCATACTGGCTGATGATTTTCGACATGGCAGTCTTGTCTGCTAATACAGGGATTGCTTAAAGAACAAGGATTCTGGCACTGGCCGGAGATGCAAGCTTTATCGATGGCGCAATCTTCATGTGAACGGCATCCCACATCTGCGAGTTGTTACGTAAACATTAAATATATAAGAATTAACAATAAATTTGGAACAATTAAAAAAATATGTCTAGGTAAAATCAAGAAAACGTTTTATAATAATAAATATATCTACGAAATAAATCTAAAGAACAAGCAAAAGAAGCATCGAGGCTGAAATAAAATATTTATAAGCGCATAAGTCATGCCAACCGATATTGTATTTCCCAGTAGCCCACTACTACAACCATTAAACATATATATACATTATATACAATAGAGTTCTGGAAAGAGAAATATAATTAAAATAATAAACATATAAAAGTAGATACCAATAGAAATAAGGATATAAAGGATAGAATTTACAGTTTTCAATGGACGTATTTCCTTCCAATATCTACGTCATGCAAGCAGGATACTTTTCTACTAATATGTAAATTCCACAACATTTTGTTATTAAACAGCCTGGCGTGGCGAACACATCATGCCGGTCATCCATATATATATATATTTTTTTTGCAATGCACAATTTTCCAACAAGTACTTTTTTATTCACCTGGAACTTTCTACAACCAACTACATCCAGTATATATTCAAGTGAAAAGAAATAGACATACAGATATTGCAGCGATCTAATAAACAAAACTTTAAGTAAATGTAACAGATATAATTTTTCAGTTAAGTCAATTGTTCATTTATAAAAATAGCTGAACTGATAGAAACCCAATTTTGGTGTATTATTAACTAAACCTTTTTTTATAATAATTCAAGATGAGTAGCCTTTTACCTGAGTTATTGCCATTTATTTTGAGTTTCTGGATTTTTTAAGATATGAATTGCTATTATTTTAGTTTATGTTTTATTTGAAGGAGGAGTGACTTATGATTCGTATATTATAAAAATCCAAAAAAAAACATGTATTTAGACTTGTGTTTGTATGATCTTTTCGGTTCAGATAAAATACTTAATCCAAAAACAGACTGTCAAAGTGTCAGTTTGTCGACATCCAAGGTGTCTTCCAGCCAAACGTTTTTGTGGAATTTTTGGGATACAGTGCGCTGTGTATTTAGTTGCAGTTTCTTGTATCTTGAATTATTATAAAAAGCAGTCAACTCATCTTCAGAATAATACTATCATATCATTTGACATTTAAATTAATTGATTAAATAGTTAATTTTTAAACATGCAATTTTGTGCAATTATTTTGTGGATATTCGTTATTATTGTTTATGAGGTGCTGATTGAACAGTCGTATTATGTCTTAGGCAAATGGCATTAAAATAATTTAAAACTCTGTATGCCTGGTCCTTCGACAAGTGAACAGTGCCGTTTAAAATACAAACATTGGTCTGTGTAAGGCCATGGCAGTGTACCATTTCATTCTGCTATACATAGATACATAAACTGAAGGATATCGTTAATCTATCGAACACGAATGAAAGTTAACACGAAAAAGCAGTAAAGAAGAAAAGGTGAAAATAGTTGATAGGGGAAAATCTTCAGAAACGCATATATATATATATATATCTTCAGATAAGTTACATTTAGGTACAAGAGTAGGTAGTAGTGTATGGCAATTATGAACGGGTCATCATAGTAGGTACTGTTTTTTTTTTAATCTTGAATACAGTAAATCTGTATTCAATCGTGTTTGATTTATTTTTACCTTTGAGACATCCACGTTTTGAATCTGATCTAAATCCTGGCGGACAAAACCTGCAAACTGGTTTGTGATCTTCCACATAACAAGGACTATCGGCTGAACAATTGGCCGTAGCACATGGATCTTCGCATCGAAAAGACCGACATGCCAGATGTGATGGACAACCGTTATCTCTTAGGCAGATAGATACCGAGGGGTTACAATTTTTCATGCAAATACAAACAGGACGATGATTAAGGACGTCGCACGTTTTATTAACCGGACAAGGCGTCCTTCCATTTGCAACGCAAGGATTTTGACATCGGCGATCGATACATGCCAGATTCGATGCACATTCGTTGTTAGTTATGCATTCCGTTACATCAGGAGCACAAGACAACTCTCCCACATCGTTTACTATAAAACCGTTTGCACACACGCAAGACGCTCTATGTTGATAAACTTGACATTTTTTATTATTTTTACATTTGATAACGACTCCTTCGCATGGATTGTGGCATTCTCTTAATTGTTTATTGCATGCAAGTGCCGCCGGGCAGTCGTTATCGTCAAAACAAGGCACTTTAGTGATCGGTTTTGAAATGTTCTTACAATTTGGATCCGGTCTACAATTATTGGTCGCAACTCCAACAAAACATTCTGGACATGAACATCTCGGCCTGTGATGTACCGTACGGCACAATGCGTTTATTCCACAGGCACTGGTCAAGGTGCAAGGGTTAATGCATTTGAAGTTGACGCAAGCCTTTTCGTCAGGACACTCAGAGTCTCTGTTACATTCGGCATCTATGGGTAGATAAGAGGGTGGAAAAAGAAAGCCAATGTCAGAAAACCGTGAAAGGAAACATCTCACAAAATTATTATGACACATGCAGTCAGAAGTGAGAGGAATGAAAGAGGCTATTGTATGTCTCAATAAGTCTGAACAGCCAAAGTATTTACAAGCGCTAACTTTCAGCCAAACCAAACAATTACTAATGTACAACACAATGTGAGAATGCTCCTTTCACAGTTCCCAATCTGACTTAAAATCCAGAGAAATTAAACAGGGCATCTCACCACGAGTAAAACGATAATAGGTCATTTCTTTTATACATACTATTAATTGTTACGCGTTTCTTATATTCATGTTACGGTTAAGGTGCTAGCTTGGCGTGTGTATAAACTGTCTATTTATCTAATATAAGCTAAACGAATTTTAAGATTATCTTAATAGATAGCCTCTTTTTTATCAACACAGTTGGCTAGTTTATGAGTTATTTAAGTAATATTTACACACAATAAAAAATGTAATACATTATCATGGTGAATACGTATTGTTTTCATTTTTTTAACGAAGCTTTTTGTTACAGGCTGGAAGTGTTCCTTGAATGCAACCTTTTTCTCGATTTTGGTGAGTTTATTCATGAAATACTTCTTTATTTTCCTAAGAAACATTTATATTTATTTATCTTTTTACGGTAGCAATTATTTTTGTAACTATCTTAATAAAAAAGCTCCTTGCTTATATACCTCCAAAGTAAGCATTTCNCACTTGTGGTTTGCTGGTCGTTTTCATGTAGGGGGTAGTTGTTATAACGATTTTTGATTATGTTTCAAGTTTGTAAATATATATATAAGTAATACAAACCCCACGTAGTTGACTAAAATGCCTATTATTTAGTTATTCTTTTGGATACGTTGTTCAAGAAATGTTATACCAAACAACTACGATATTATTTAAGTATTACCACTACTTCCTGCTAATGTAAATTTATCTAGACTATACATGCAGACTTTTAAATTCTATGTAAATGGCATTTGTGCAAGTTTCAGTTCACAAAAACTTAACACTAATTAATAAATCTACATGAAAGTAACTGAAACTTGTACGAATTAACGTTAATCACACGATATACAGTCGGTAATCACTTTAGATATTTTTAGTTTACACCTCTTAATTCTACCATTATTAACCTTTTCATTCTACAAATAAATAAATACTGTATACACTATATCTAACTATAACTACAATTTTTACAAATATCTAGTACCATGTACCTTTCGAACACTCCTGCATTGCATTCCCAGTAAATCCAGGTGGACAACTACAGTGTGCTGTGTGGTTAGAAACTGTACAAAGGGCATGTTTACCACAACTTTGCCCCGTTGAACAAGAATTAATACATTGGCCTTTCAGGCAGGTGTCTGTAGCAGGGCAATCTCTGGCCATTTTGCATATTTGTTTAGTTGTGTTAGCGGTCAGCATGGTTACGTTTTGGGATGTCAAAGGTCGGGATGTCGAGGAACGATTTTGGTATGCTACCGATTCTGTACTAGGCGTAAGTTGCTTTGGAAGTTTGTACGATTTTGTGGTAGAAGTAAACAATGTCTCTGTTGTTTTTTCTTGTACTTTTGAAGTTTCAGGTGACTCTGAGGATGTAGTTGGAGTTGGTGCTTCTAAGAGCACTGTGGGTTTTGGAGATTCGCTATGGCTTAGTTCAGGATATTCACTTGTGAACTCTGGCGTTGAAGAGCTCGCAGCTAATGTCGCCTCTTTTGTGATGTATTCTGTGCTAGAATATCCTTCAGTAGTTTCAGTAGCAGATTTTGTTTCTCCTTTGGAGTCAATACTACTCGTTGGGGTAGTTGTAATAGTCAACTCGCTTGAAGTTTCCGTCTTTCTCATTTTTTCTGGACTAATGATTGTAACTGGGGAGGTAGAAGATTCTTTATCATGAGTTAGAATGATTGTGGTTGGTTCGTATTCAGAAGTAGAGCTCTGTAGATTTTCTTCTGTAACTTTAATAGCTATTGCAGTTTTCTCTGTACTTTCTCCAAATGCAGTTGTGGTCTCCAAAGAAGAAGTGGTGTATATGGCACTTTGAGTAGTCTTACTTGTAAGCGTTGTAGGCATTTTGGATGTTGTTGCGATTTCAGATTTGGATTCATTCGTACTTTCTCTGGGACTCGTGCTTGTAAATGCATTTTCTTCTTTTGTTTCAGCATGCCCATATGACGAAGTAGCAGTTGAAGTTTCAATACCATGGGCTGGTATTGTTGTTTGTTTTGTTTTTGTAGAAGGAATGGTATTCTCTGTAGTCTCGGTATTTTCGGTTGTACTTGTAGAAACTATATCTCGATTTGTAAATTTATTTGTTTGTAACGGTGTGTAGTTGGTTGAAAAAGCGGTTGTTGTCTCTGTTGGACTTTCAGTGAATACCTTGTGTTCTGTAGATGTTCCAAACGTTGTTAAATAAGATTCTTCTTTACTGCTGCTGGATATAATAGATGTGGTAGTCTCAGGTGTACCAATACCTTCCTTATATGACTCTTGTGTACTAGGAAGTGAAGTTTGAGTTGGTGAAGTAGTTGTTGTGACTCCTTGTGTAGACGATTCAAGAGTTGAATAAGATTCTTCTGTAGTACCGCCGGGAATAAAAGACGTGGTAGTTTCAAGTATACCATCACTTTCTTTGTATGACTTTTGTGTGCTAGGAAATGCACTTTGATTTTGTAAAGTAGTTGTTGTATCTGCGAAAGGCTTAGTCGTTTTTGTAGATGCTTCCAATGTTGTTGGAAAAGATTCTTCTTTAGTACTGTCAGTCATGAAAGGCGTGGTACTTTCAGGTATACCATGACTTTCTTTGTATGACTTTTGTGTGCTAGCAACTGTAGTTTGTTTTGGTAAAGTAGTTGTGTCAGTGAAATGCTTAACTGTACTTGTAGGTGTTTCCGATGTTGTTGAATAAAGTTCTTCTGTAGTATTGTCAGTTATAAAAGGTGTAGTATTTTCAGGTATACCATGACTTTCTTTGTATGACTTTTGTGTGCTAGCAACTGTAGTTTGTTTTGGTAAAGTAGTTGTGTCAGTGAAATGTTTGACTGTACTCGTAAGTGTTTCAGATGTTGTTGAATAAAGTTCTTCTGTAGTATTACCAGTTATAAAAGGTGTGGTACTTTCAGGTATACCATGACTTTCTTTGTGGGACTTTTGTGTACTAGCAATTGTGGTTTGTTTTGGTAAAGTAGTTGTGTCAGTGAAATGCTTAACTATACTTGTAGGTGTTTCAGATGTTGTTGAATAAAGTTCTTCTGTAGTATTGTCAGTTATAAAAGGTGTAGTATTTTCAGGTATACCATGACTTTCTTTGTATGACTTTTGTGTGCTAGCAACTGTAGTTTGTTTTGGTAAAGTAGTTGTGTCAGTGAAATGTTTGACTGTACTCGTAAGTGTTTCAGATGTTGTTGAATAAAGTTCTTCTGTAGTATTACCAGTTATAAAAGGTGTGGTACTTTCAGGTATACCATGACTTTCTTTGTGGGACTTTTGTGTACTAGCAATTGTGGTTTGTTTTGGTAAAGTAGTTGTGTCAGTGAAATGCTTAACTATACTTGTAGGTGTTTCAGATGTTGTTGAATAAAGTTCTTCTGTAGTATTGTCAGTTATAAAAGGTGTAGTATTTTCAGGTATACCATGACTTTCTTTGTATGACTTTTGTGTGCTAGCAACTGTAGTTTGTTTTGGTAAAGTAGTTGTGTCAGTGAAATGTTTGACTGTACTCGTAAGTGTTTCAGATGTTGTTGAATAAAGTTCTTCTGTAGTATTACCAGTTATAAAAGGTGTGGTACTTTCAGGTATACCATGACTTTCTTTGTGGGACTTTTGTGTACTAGCAATTGTGGTTTGTTTTGGTAAAGTAGTTGTGTCAGTGAAATGCTTAACTATACTTGTAGGTGTTTCAGATGTTGTTGAATAAAGTTCTTCTGTAGTATTGTCAGTTATAAAAGGTGTAGTATTTTCAGGTATACCATGACTTTCTTTGTATGACTTTTGTGTGCTAGCAACTGTAGTTTGTTTTGGTAAAGTAGTTGTGTCAGTGAAATGTTTGACTGTACTCGTAAGTGTTTCAGATGTTGTTGAATAAAGTTCTTCTGTAGTATTACCAGTTATAAAAGGTGTGGTACTTTCAGGTATACCATGACTTTCTTTGTGGGACTTTTGTGTACTAGCAATTGTGGTTTGTTTTGGTAAAGTAGTTGTGTCAGTGAAATGCTTAACTATACTTGTAGGTGTTTCAGATGTTGTTGAATAAAGTTCTTCTGTAGTATTGTCAGTTATAAAAGGTGTAGTATTTTCAGGTATACCATGACTTTCTTTGTATGACTTTTGTGTGCTAGCAACTGTAGTTTGTTTTGGTAAAGTAGTTGTGTCAGTGAAATGTTTGACTGTACTCGTAAGTGTTTCAGATGTTGTTGAATAAAGTTCTTCTGTAGTATTACCAGTTATAAAAGGTGTGGTACTTTCAGGTATACCATGACTTTCTTTGTGGGACTTTTGTGTACTAGCAATTGTGGTTTGTTTTGGTAAAGTAGTTGTGTCAGTGAAATGCTTAACTATACTTGTAGGTGTTTCAGATGTTGTTGAATAAAGTTCTTCTGTAGTATTGTCAGTTATAAAAGGTGTAGTATTTTCAGGTATACCATGACTTTCTTTGTATGACTTTTGTGTGCTAGCAACTGTAGTTTGTTTTGGTAAAGTAGTTGTGTCAGTGAAATGTTTGACTGTACTCGTAAGTGTTTCAGATGTTGTTGAATAAAGTTCTTCTGTAGTATTACCAGTTATAAAAGGTGTGGTACTTTCAGGTATACCATGACTTTCTTTGTGGGACTTTTGTGTACTAGCAATTGTGGTTTGTTTTGGTAAAGTAGTTGTGTCAGTGAAATGCTTAACTATACTTGTAGGTGTTTCAGATGTTGTTGAATAAAGTTCTTCTGTAGTATTGTCAGTTATAAAAGGTGTAGTA